TCTAAAGCACCTAGCCTAGCCGTTGCCTTTGTGTGAGCTGCTCCCATGTTTGTTCCTCTTATTCCTCCATTGTTGGGAAGGATCCAAATATAGCTTGCTGTACGGTTCTTGACCCTCCGCCAAAACCTTCTGTTGCGTTTTTCTTCCTGTTACACACACTGGCACCTCCCTTCTCTGTTTCCCTCCGTTCTCCTCTTCCTGTACGTGTACCTGGCATCTCTCTATCTTTATCTCCTCCCCTCTCCACTCTTCCTGCTAGAGAAATCAGCAGCCATGGTAACCTGGCAGGCTTTGTGAGAAAAGGCTCCTTTCAAACATCACAAGGCCTTCATTAGCTACCAGACTCAGAGGAATCAAAATGGTGGTTCAGTTCACTGGGGAGTCAAGATTTGTATTGGTTAGCCTAGGTATTACAGTCACATAGCCTAGTTATGCAGCCCTGTTGTGATGGGGTGTCAGTGGGATCATGTGAACTGCCCCAGGGGGATGCATGGCAAAGCTGTAGAGCAGCCATACTCAAGATGTAATGAATACACCCCAGTTTAAAGAGTTTGGGTTCGCATATGTCTCGAGGTGGGGGTTTGTTACTACGCTGATAAATGAAAATATCTATCCGGACCTTTGCCTCCTAGGAAATTAGTGTGAAGGACCTTCTCACATACAGTGGGGGAAAAAAGTATTTAGTCAGCCACCAATTGTGCAAGTTCTCCCACTTAAAAAGATGAGAGGCCTGTAATTTTCATCATAGGTACACGTCAACTATGACAGACAAAATGAGAAAAAAAAATCCAGAAAATCACATTGTAGGATTTTTAATGAATTTATTTGCAAATTATGGTGGAAAATAAGTATTTGGTCAATAACAAAAGTTTCTCAATACTTTGTTATATACCCTTTGTTGGCAATGACACAGGTCAAATGTGTCACAAGGTTTTCACACACTGTTGCTGGTATTTTGGCCCATTCCTCCATGCAGATCTCCTCTAGAGCAGTGATGTTTTGGGGCTGTCGCTGGGCAACACGGACTTTCAACTCCCTCCAAAGATTTTCTATGGGGTTGAGATCTGGAGACTGGCTAGGCCACTCCAGGACCTTGAAATGCTTCTTACGAAGCCACTCCTTCGTTGCCCGGGCGGTGTGTTTGGGATCATTGTCATGCTGAAAGACCCAGCCACGTTTCATCTTCAATGCCCTTGCTGATGGAAGGAGGTTTTCACTCAAAATCTCACGATACATGGCCCCATTCATTCTTTCCTTTACACGGATCAGTCGTCCTGGTCCCTTTGCAGAAAAACAGCCCCAAAGCATAATGTTTCCACCCCCATGCTTCACAGTAGGAATGGTGTTCTTTGGATGCAACTCAGCATTCTTTGTCCTCCAAACACGACGAGTTGAGTTTTTACCAAAAAGTTATATTTTGGTTTCATCTGACCATATGACATTCTCCCAATCCTCTTCTGGATCATCCAAATGCACTCTAGCAAACTTCAGACGGGCCTGGACATGTACTGGCTTAAGCAGGGGGACACGTCTGGCACTGCAGGATTTGAGTCCCTGGTGGCGTAGTGTGTTACTGATGGTAGGCTTTGTTACTTTGGTCCCAGCTCTCTGCAGGTCATTCACTAGGTCCCCCGTGTGGTTCTGGGATTTTTGCTCACCGTTCTTGTGATAATTTTGACCCCACGGGGTGAGATCTTGCGTGGAGCCCCAGATCGAGGGAGATTATCAGTGGTCTTGTATATCTTCCATTTCCTAATAATTGCTCCCACAGTTGATTTCTTCAAACCAAGCTGCTTACCTATTGCAGATTCAGTCTTCCCAGCCTGGTGCAGGTCTACAATTTTGTTTCTGGTGTCCTTTGACAGCTCTTTGGTCTTGGCCATAGTGGAGTTTGGAGTGTGACTGTTTGAGGTTGTGGACAGGTGTATTTTATACTGATAACAAGTTCAAACAGGTGCCATTAATACAGGTAACGAGTGGAGGACAGAGGAGCCTCTTAAAGAAGAAGTTACAGGTCTGTGAGAGCCAGAAATCTTGCTTGTTTGTAGGTGATCAAATACTTATTTTCCACCATAATTTGCAAATAAATTCATTAAATATCCTACAATGTGATTTTCTGGATTTTTTTCCCTCAATTTGTCTGTCATAGTTGACGTGTACCTATGATGAAAATTACAGGCCTCTCTCATATTTTTAAGTGGGAGAACTTGCACAATTGGTGGCTGACTAAATACTTTTTTTCCCCACTGTAGTATTACAGAGTACCGCTACTTTAGAGCAGTCCTGCATTGAGATGAAGGGGAACCAAAGAATAGTTAATGTGTACAGTAAGCCTATAATAGGCTGAGTTTGTTCTCATTTGAATATTGCCATGGAGATGATGTAGACCAATTTACGCATTAAAGACATGCTCCGGAACTTTGGCGACAAGTAAGTTTTTTTGGGGGGGGCTGGATGTGTCAATGTGTAGTTCATACATGCATAATGTATGAGCAGAATTACTGTCTTAACTCAATTAGCCACAAAATCCCCAACTTGAAAGCGCCTGTTTACTGGAAGCTGTGCGTCACCATTTTCCCTACATTTCCCCCCATGTGGGCCAGCCCCCTCGCCACTTGAGACAGAGCAGTGAAGTAGTGCACATACACTACAGTCCAAGGTTTGGACACACCTACTCATTCCAGGGTTTTTCTTTGGTTTTACTATTTTCTACATTGTAGAATAATAGTGAAGACATCAAAACTATGAAATAACACATGGAATCATGTAGTAACCAAAAAAGTGTTAAACAAATCAAAATAGATTTTATATTTAAGATTCTTCAAATAGCCACCCTTTGCCTTGATGACAGCTTTGCACACTCTTGGAATTCTCTCAACCAGCTTCACCTGGAATGCTTTTCCAACAGTCTTGAAGGAGTTCCCAACTATGCTGAGCACTTGTTGGCTGCTTTTCCTTCACTCTGCCATCCGACTCATCCCAAACCATCATAATTGGGTTGAGGTCGGGGGATTGTGGAGGCCAGGTCATCTGATGCAGCACTCCATCATTCTCCGTCTTGGTAAAATAGCCCTTACACAGCCTGGAGGTGTGTTGGGTCATTGTCCTGTTGAAAAACAAATGATAGTTCCACTAAGCCCAAACCAGATGGGATGGCTTATCGCTGCAGAATGCTGTGGTAGCCATGCTGGTTAACTGTGCCTTGAATTCTAAATATATCACAGACAGTGTCACCAGCAAAGCACCCCCACACCATAATACCTCCTCCTCCATGCTTTACGGTGGGAACTACACATGCAGAGATCATCCGTTCACCCACACCGCGTCTCACAAAGACACGGCGGTTGGAACCAAAAATCTCCAATTTGGACTCCAGAACAAAGGACACATTTCCACCGGTCTAATGTCCATTGCTCATGTTTCTTGGCCCAAGCAGGTCTCTTCTTATTATTGGCGTCCTTTAGTAGTAGTTTCTTTGCAGCAATTCGACCATGAAGGCCTGATTCACACAGTCTCCTCTGAACAGTTGATGTTGAGATGTGTCTGTGACTTGAACTCTGAAGCATTTATTTGTGCTGCAATTTCTGAGGCTGGTAACTTATCTTCTGCAGCAGAGGTAACTCTGGGTCTTCCATTCCTGTGGTGGTCCTCACGAGAGCCAGTTTCATCATAGCGCTTGATGGTTTTTGCAGCTGCACTTGAAGAAACGTTCAAAGTTCTTGACATTTTCCAGATTGACTGACCTTCATGTCTTAAAGTAATGATGGACTGTCTTTTCTCTTTGCTTATTTGAGCTGTTCTTGCCATAATATGGACTTGGTCTTTTACCAAATAGGGTTATCTTCTATATACCACCCCCACCTTGTCACAACACAACTGACTGGCTCAAACGCATTAAGAAGGAAAGAAATTCCACAAATGAACTTTTAACAAGGCACACCTGTTAATTGAAATGCATTCCAGGTGACTACCTCATGAAGCTGGTTGAGAGAATGCCAAGATTGTGCAAAGCGTTCATCAAGGCAAAGGGTGGCTACTTTGAAGAATCTCAAATATAAAATATATTTGGATTTGTTTAACACTTTTTTGGTTACTACATGATTCCATATATGTTATTTCATAGTTTTGATGTCTTCACCATTATTATACAATGTAAAAAAAATTGTAGAAATAAAGAAATGCCTTGAATGAGTAGGTGTGTCCAAACTTTTGATTGGTAGTGTATCTGCACATATGTGACATAGTAAGCAATTTTCGATGACCACTTTTGGCTCGTGAGCACTACTTTCAGAACTAGTGGCTAAAAAATATACAAAAGTACCAGAGAATCTCTTTAACAGCCTTAGGGTGATGGAGGGGATGTTTCTGACAAGTGTACCTAGAGGTTTGCCCCGCCCATATCCCAGGTCAGCTCCCTCATGTCCATCCACACATTGGCGTTGTATTGAATGACACTTGATTTTGCATCACCATGGGTAAAACTTTACCTTGCATTCTCTTACTTTGCAGATGACAAGTTTTATATTCTACTTTACTGAAATGAATGACACAACTTTCAATGAAAAATATGGATGGGATCTTCATATTTTCTTCCCTCTCTCTGCTTTCTTTCTCCATTTCTCCTCCACTTTCTTCTTTCTTCTTTCTACCTTTATCCTTCTCTCTCTCTCTCTCTCTCTCTCTCTCTCTCTCTCTCTCTCTCTCTCTCTCTCTCTCTCAAACTCTGTCCTTTTCCTCTTATATCAACAGAATAACTAGCTCACTGTTGCCACCCTCAGGTGCTTATGTGTAACTGCACAAGCTCAGCCTCTATGCTCCCTGTAGGAGTTCTTGATATTTCCCCTACCGGTTTTCTTGAGGTTACTATGGGTTAAATAATAAATGCTCTTCACAATATCAGCCTCATTTCATCATTACTTTTATTTTTGTTTTTCCGTTTCCTTTCTAGGTGATTTAACTCATTTCTCCTCCATTCATGCGTCTGGCTTGGTTTAGCTGTCATGGATGACAAGGCCTCGGTGGGGAAAGTTAGCGTGTCGTCCGACTCAGTGTCCACCCTGAACAGTGAGGACTTTGTGCTGGTGTCGCGGCTGGGGGACGACACCCCAGGCTCCTCCATTAATAACGGTAGCGATGACGAAAAGACAGGACTGAAGGTAAGACAAAAGAAAGAGTGCCTGGGTGAGTGGACAGAATCCTAACATGCCTGGTCCCAATTCACTCACGCCCTTCCCTTTCACCTATAGCCTGGGTGCCAGTCTGTTGCTGCTCTCTTGACAACTCCTTATGGAAATTGTCATGCCAAACATTGCTTGGCTTGACAATGACAAATGGAGTAGACAAACAGATCTGGGACCAGGCCCTAAGCCCCTACCTAACCCTGTGATGTTTGCACTGCAGATCTGAAGTTCCTGGGTAGGTGTAGGCCTAAGCAATGCAGTGATGGAGTTTTTTTAATGTAACATTTATTTTGACAGGGAGTCATGCTGATACCAAGGTCTCTTTGACAGATGAGCCCTGTAATTACACAAATATGCACAAAAATATACACATCAATACACTTTAAGTGGATGGGGACATTGCCCTGTGTAGGGTGCCGTCTTTCGGATGGGACGTTAAACGGGTGTCCTGACTCTCTGTGGTAATTTAAAGATCCAATGGCACTTATCGTAAGGGTAGGGGTGTTAACCCCATTGACCATGCTAAATTCCCTTATACCGTCATGGCCACCTGATCATCCCCAGCTTCCATTTGGCTCATTCATTCCCGCTCCTTTCCCCTGTAACTATTCCCCAGGTTGTTGCTGTAAATGAGAATATGTTCTCAGTCAACTTACCTGGTAAAATAAGGGTAAAATAAAGAAAGAAAACTATGAAAAGCTAAACAGAGACATAAACATAGAAAACAAACACATTCTTCAGTGAAATGGTCCTCAATGAGCCATCTGAATGGTCCTCAATGAGCCATCTGAATGGTCCTCAGTGAGCCATCTGAATGGTCCTCAATGAGCCATCTGAATGGTCCTCAATGAGCCATCTGAATGGTCCTCAATGAGCCATCTGAATGGTCCTCAATGAGCCATCTGAATGGTCCTCAATGAGCCATCTGAATGGTCTTCAGTGAGCCATCTGAATGGTCCTCAATGAGCCATCTGAATGGTCCTCAGTGAGCCATCTGAATGGTCCTCAATGAGCCATCTGAATGGTCTTCAGTGAGCCATCTGAATGGTCCTCAATGAGTCATCTGAATGGTCTTCAGTGAGCCATCTGAATGGTCCTCAATGAGCCATCTGAATGGTCTTCAGTGAGCCATCTGAATGGTCCTCAATGAGCCATCTGAATGGTCTTCAGTGAGCCATCTGAATGGTCTTCAGTGAGCCATCTGAATGGTCCTCAGTGAGCCATCTGAATGGTCCTCAGTGAGCCATCTGAATGGTCCTCAGTGAGCCATCTGAATGGTCCTCAATGAGCCATCTGAATGGTCCTCAGTGAGCCATCTGAATGGTCTTCAGTGAGCCATCTGAATGGTCCTTAATGAGCCATGTGAATGGTCTTCAATGAGCCATCTGAATGGTCCTCAATGAGCCATCTGAATGGTCCTCAATGAGCCATCTGAATGGTCTTCAGTGAGCCATCTGAATGGTCCTCAATGAGCCATCTGAATGGTCTTCAGTGAGCCATCTGAATGGTCCTCAATGAGCCATCTGAATGGTCTTCAGTGAGCCATCTGAATGGTCCTCAGTGAGCCATCTGAATGGTCCTCAATGAGCCATCTGAATGGTCCTCAGTGAGCCATCTGAATGGTCCTCAATGAGCCATCTGAATGGTCTTCAGTGAGCCATCTGAATGGTCCTCAATGAGCCATCTGAATGGTCTTCAATGAGCCATCTGAATGGTCCTCAATGAGCCATCTGAATGGTCTTCAGTGAGCCATCTGAATGGTCCTCAGTGAGCCATCTGAATGGTCCTCAATGAGCCATCTGAATGGTCTTCAGTGAGCCATCTGAATGGTCCTCAATGAGCCATCTGAATGGTCCTCAATGAGCCATCTGAATGGTCCTCAATGAGCCATCTGAATGGTCCTCAATGAGCCATCTGAATGGTCTTCAGTGAGCCATCTGAATGGTCCTCAATGAGCCATCTGAATGGTCTTCAATGAGCCATCTGAATGGTCTTCAGTGAGCCATCTGAATGGTCCTCAATGAGCCATCTGAATGGTCTTCAATGAGCCATCTGAATGGTCTTCAGTGAGCCATCTGAATGGTCTTCAGTGAGCCATCTGAATTGCCCTAAAGGCACCAAATCATCCAATTTGAGAGTTTTGGAGATTATTCCACAAGTTCCACAGCATGCACATCACTGACAACCTGAAATGGTCACTTCACACAGACGGCGTGGTGAAGAAGCGCCTCTTCAACCTCAGGAGGCTGAAGAAATGTGTCTTGGTCCCTAAGACCCTCACGAGCTACTACAGACACACCATTGAGGACATCATGTCAGGCTGTACACCGCCTGGTACGGAAATAGCACTGTCCCCAACCGCAGGGCTCTCCAGTTCTAGATGGTACCCACCCGGTCCTCCACCCTGCACCTTAGTGACTGCTGCCCTGAACACATTGAACACTGGTCACTTTAATAATGTTTACATACTGTTTCCACCACTTTATATGTAGATACTGTATTCTAGTCATGGCTCCTCCTATATAACTTTTTCCTCTTTTTATTTTTTCTTGATTATGTGTGTATTGTTTTTTTTTTTATTGCTAGGTATTACTGCACTGTTGGAGCTAGAAACACAAGCATTTAGCTAGGTGTTACTGCACTGTTGGAGCTAGAAACACAAGCATTTAGCTAGGTGTTACTGCACTGTTGGAGCTAGAAACACAAGCATTTAGCTAGGTGTTACTGCACTGTTGGAGCTAGAAACACAAGCATTTAGCTAGGTGTTACTGCACTGTTGGAGCTAGAAACACAAGCATTTAGCTAGGTGTTACTGCACTGTTGGAGCTGGAAACACAAGCATTTAGCTAGGTGTTACTGCACTGTTGGCGCTAGAAACACAAGCATTTAGCTAGGTGTTACTGCACTGTTGGAGCTAGAAACACAAGCATTTAGCTAGGTATTACTGCACTGTTGGCGCTAGAAACACAAGCATTTAGCTAGGTGTTACTGCACTGTTGGAGCTAGAAACACAAGCATTTAGCTAGGTGTTACTGCACTGTTGGAGCTAGAAACACAAGCATTTAGCTAGGTGTTACTGCACTGTTGGAGCTAGAAACACAAGCATTTAGCTAGGTGTTACTGCACTGTTGGAGCTAGAAACACAAGCATTTAGCTAGGTGTTACTGCACTGTTGGAGCTAGAAACACAAGCATTTAGCTAGGTGTTACTGCACTGTTGGAGCTAGAAACACAAGCATTTAGCTAGGTGTTACTGCACTGTTGGAGCTAGGTATTATTGCACTGTTGGAGCTAGAAACACAAGCATTTAGCTAGGTGTTACTGCACTGTTGGAGCTAGAAACACAAGCATTTAGCTAGGTGTTACTGCACTGTTGGAGCTAGAAACACAAGCATTTAGCTAGGTGTTACTGCACTGTTGGAGCTAGAAACACAAGCATTTAGCTAGGTGTTACTGCACTGTTGGAGCTAGAAACACAAGCATTTAGCTAGGTGTTACTGCACTGTTGGAGCTAGAAACACAAGCATTTAGCTAGGTGTTACTGCACTGTTGGAGCTAGAAACACAAGCATTTAGCTAGGTGTTACTGCACTGTTGGAGCTAGAAACACAAGCATTTAGCTAGGTGTTACTGCACTGTTGGAGCTAGGTATTATTGCACTGTTGGAGCTAGAAACACAAGCATTTAGCTAGGTATTACTGCACTGTTGGAGCTAGAAACACAAGCATTTAGCTAGGTGTTACTGCACTGTTGGAGCTAGAAACACAAGCATTTAGCTAGGTATTACTGCACTGTTGGAGCTAGAAACACAAGCATTTAGCTAGGTGTTACTGCACTGTTGGAGCTGGAAACACAAGCATTTAGCTAGGTGTTACTGCACTGTTGGAGCTAGAAACACAAGCATTTAGCTAGGTATTACTGCACTGTTGGAGCTAGAAACACAAGCATTTAGCTAGGTGTTACTGCACTGTTGGAGCTAGAAACACAAGCATTTAGCTAGGTGTTACTGCACTGTTGGAGCTAGGTATTATTGCACTGTTGGAGCTAGAAACACAAGCATTTAGCTAGGTATTACTGCACTGTTGGAGCTAGAAACACAAGCATTTAGCTAGGTGTTACTGCACTGTTGGAGCTAGAAACACAAGCATTTAGCTAGGTATTACTGCACTGTTGGAGCTAGAAACACAAGCATTTAGCTAGGTGTTACTGCACTGTTGGAGCTGGAAACACAAGCATTTAGCTAGGTGTTACTGCACTGTTGGAGCTAGAAACACAAGCATTTAGCTAGGTATTACTGCACTGTTGGAGCTAGAAACACAAGCATTTAGCTAGGTGTTACTGCACTGTTGGAGCTAGAAACACAAGCATTTAGCTAGGTATTACTGCGCTGTTGGAGCTAGAAACACAAGTATTTAGCTAGGTATTACTGCGCTGTTGGAGCTAGAAACACAAGCATTTAGCTAGGTGTTACTGCACTGTTGGAGCTAGAAACACAAGCATTTAGCTAGGTGTTACTGCACTGTTGGAGCTAGAAACACAAGCATTTAGCTAGGTGTTACTGCACGGTTGGAGCTAGAAACACAAGCATTTAGCTAGGTGTTACTGCACTGTTGGAGCTAGAAACACAAGCATATTGCTAGGTGTTACTGCATTGTTGGAGCTAGGTATTACTGCACTGTTGGAGCTAGAAACACAAGCATTTAGCTAGGTATTACTGCACTGTTGGAGCTAGAAACACAAGCATTTAGCTAGGTGTTGCTGCCTTGTTGGAGCTAGAAACACAAGCATTTAGCTAGGTATTACTGCACTGTTGGAGCTAGAAACACAAGCATTTAGCTAGGTATTACTGCACTGTTGGAGCTAGAAACACAAGCATTTAGCTAGGTGTTACTGCACTGTTTGAGCTAGAAACACAAGCATTTAGCTAGGTGTTACCGCACTGTTGGAGCTAGAAACACAAGCATTTAGCTAGGTGTTACTGCACTGTTGGAGCTAGGTATTACGGCACTGTTGGAGCTAGAAACATAAGCATTTCGCTGCACCTGCGATAACATCTGCAAATCAGTATACGCAACCAATAAAATTTGATTTGATTTGAAGAAAGCCTAACTATATTGCTTAGGCCGGTCCTACCCCTTGCAGATCTGCAAAGTGCAAACAAAAAAAGGGTTAAAGCCAAGGGGAAGGGATGGGGAGCGAATTGGGACAGGTGTGTGGAACATTCTGTCTTGATAGTCAACTCACCTGAATATCAAGGCCTCAATCAGTGACTGATTGAAATGTAACTGTAACCGCATCAATGCAGCATCACACTATCAGTAGCAGAAACGTCTGCCTTCTCCGACCACTGATGTTAAACTACCATGGAATTCAGTGTCAAATCACCCTATTTGACTAAAGCTCTCATTCCCCTTCCAATGCACGCACTCACTCACTCTCATACTTTAGCTAATCATCTGAGAAACCCATTCCATGCTTTGCCCTTATTAACTTATCCTCACCAACTACAACTAGGCTACCTCCTCTGTTAAGACTTCAATATTTGTCCTCCCATTTGTTTGTTGTGGATATAGGCCTACTGTTTATTAGGGCTGTGACGGTCATGGAATTTTGGATGACTGCGGCCTCCGTAATAACCGCTTGAATAGCAAAAATTAAATAACAAATATTTTTTAGGCGCACATGTTCTCCTTTCCTCCGCTCCTGACTGCATGTGCTGCCATTAGAAATAGAATGACTAGAACGGGCGTCCCCGTTCAAATCAATAATGGCATAATGGGTGGACTGGCGGCCATTGTGAGTGTACCCATAGGAGCAAAGCAGGAAGTGTACCCATCCATATGTGCTGTGATTTGTTGATTCAACTCAACTGACATTACAAAAAATACATTCCATTGCATGAGCCACATCATTTAAAATCATTTGAATGAAAATTCTACATTACCATGGAAATTATTGCATCACAATACCAGGCAGCCATTGTGAGTGTACCTATGAGTTTACCAGTGAAATTGCCAAGGTTAGAGGTTCCAAGCCCATTCTATTCATCGTTTGCTACAACACCTTGCTTGTTTCAGCAAGGGGCAACAAAGTTTCATCACACTGTTACGAGTCCATGTTATCGCAGAAACGGACTCAACCGTACGAATGCGTGGCTGTCCCGTCTTCAGTCAGCAGTTTATTTGGGGGGGGGGAATGGTTAGAGATTTGTTTTTTTTTGGGGGGGGGGGGGGTGGGGGGGGGGGGTGGGTTTATGACAGTTATTTTATTTTCATGACGGTCTTTATCCATAACCGTCGGTTACACGGTTATACAGTAATTGTGCCAGCCCTACTGTCCATGTGGGTCTGTACCATTTAAGCAACTGTCTAAGGGAAAGCTAGCCTTCAGTACATTTTCATTAGCCTATATTCAGTGTCAGTACAGCGCATCCATTAAGAGGAGAGGAAGCCAATGATGTACTGTAAATAAACATGAATACACTGTACTCTATGTATGTCTATGGAGGAAGCTGCTGAGGGCAGAGATTCAGGAGGATGGATGGAGCTTCTTCATCACTCCTGTGTGTCTCTATGGTGTCAGGTTGCCTGGGCTGGGTGAGGGAATTATTGTCCATTTAAGATTTTCATCTTTCTCTCTCCCCCTCTCTCTCTTTCTGTCTTTGTCCCTGTGTCTCTTTCCCACTCTCTCTGTCTCACTCTCCATGCTAACAAACACTTACTGTACAGGTTATCAGGCTGTAGGTCACATCCCAGTGATCACAAGTCATTCTGGCAGTCTTCTGTGTATTTATCGCCTAATGTTTATAAAATATACAGTACCAGTCAAAGGTTTGGACACCTACTAATTCCAGGGTTTTTCTTCATTATTACAATTTTTTACATTGTAGAATAATAGTGAAGACATCAAAACTATGAAATAACACATATGGAATCATGTAGTAACCAAAAAAGTGTTAAACAAATCTAAATATATTTTATATTTGAGAGTAGCCACACTTTGCCTTGATGCCAGCTTTGCACACTCTTGGCATTCTCTCAACCAGCTGCATGAGGTAGTCACCTGGAATGCATTTCAATTAACAGGTGTGCCTTGTTAATTTGTGGAATTTCTTTCCTTCTTAATGCATTTGAGCCTGTCCGTTGTGTTGTGGCAAGGTCGGGTTGGTATACAGAAGATGGCCCTATTAGATAAAAGACCAAGTCCATATTATGGCAAGAACAGCTCAAATAAGCAAAGAGAAACGACAGTCCATCATTACTTTAAGACATGAAGGTCAGTCAATTCCGGAAAATTTCAAGAACTTTGAAAGTTTCTTCAAGTGCAGTTTCAAAAAAATATCAAGCGCTATGATGAAACTGGCCCTCATGAGGACCGCCACAGGAAAGGAAGACCCAGAGTTACCTCATGTGCAGAGGATAAGTTCATTAGTTACCAGCCTCAGAAATTGCAGCCCAAATAAATGCTTCACAGAGTTCAAGTAACAGACACATCTCAACATCAACTGTTCAGAGGAGACTGCGTGAATCAGGCCTTCATGGTCGAATTGCTGCAAAGAAACTGCTACTAAAGGACACCAATAAGAAGAAGAGACTTGCTTGGGCCAAGAAACACGAGCAATGGACATTAGACCGGTGGAAATCTGTCCTTTGGTCTGATGAGTCCAAATTTGAGATGTTTGGTTCCAACCGCCGTGTCCTTGTGAAATGCAGAGTAGGTTAACGATGATCTTCGCATGTGTGGTTCCCACCGTGAAGCATGGAGGAGGAGGTGTGATGGTGTGGGGGTGCTTTGCCGGTGACACTGTCAGTGATTTATTTAGAATTCAAGCACACTTAACCAGCATGGCTACCACAGCATTCTGCAGCGATACGCCATCCCATCTGGTTTGTGCTTAGTTGGACTATCATTTGTTTTTTAACAGGAAAATGACCGAACACACCTCCAGGCTGTGTAAGGGCTATATGACCAAGGAGAGTGATGGAGTGCTGCATCAGATGATCTGGCCTCCACAATCACCCGACCTCAACCCAATTGAGATAGTTTGGGATGAGTTGGACCGAAGAGTGAAGGAAAAGCAGCCAACAAGTGCTCAGCATATGTGGGAACTCCTTCAAGACTGTTGGAAAAGCATTCCAGGTGAAGCTGGTTGAGAGAATGCCAAGAGTGTGCAAAGCTGTCAAGGCAAAGGGTGGCTACTTTGAAAAATCTAAAATCTATTTTGATTTGTTTAACACTTTTTTGGTTACTACATGATTCCATATGTGTTATTTCATAGTTTTGATGTCTTCACTATTATTCTACAATTTAGAAAATAGTAAAAATAAAGAAAAACCCTTGAATGAGTAGGTGTGTCCAAACTTTTGACTGGTACTGTATACAGTGCATTCGGAAAGTATTCCCTCATCAATCTACACACAATACCCCATAATGACGGGCGGCAGGTAGCTTAGTGGTTAAGAGCGTTCTAATCCCCGAGCCGACTAGGTGAAAAATCTGTCTGTGCCCTTGCGCAATGCACTTAACCCTAATTGCTCATGTAAGTCGCTCTGGATAAGAGCGTCTGCTAAATGACTAAAATGTAAACAAAAAAAAAAAAGGGGGGGTTTTGGGTTTCCCCCCCCCGGGGGGGGGGTTTTTTTTGGGGGGGGGCCCCCCCTTTTTTTTAAAAACCCAAAACCCCCCAAAAAAAATTTTAAAAAAAAAACCCCCTTTTTTTTTTTTTTGGGAAAAAAAAAGGGAAAAAATTTAAAGGGTTGGGGCCCCCAAAATTTTGGGTGGCCCCGGGGGGCCCCCCCTTCCCCCCCTTTTTTTTTTTAAAAGGTTTCCCCAAAAGGGGAAAAAAAAATTTTTAAAAAAAATTTTTTTTTTGTTTTGGAAGGGGGGAAATTGGTTTTTTTTTTTGGGGGGGTTTTTGGGGGGAAAAAAATTTAAATTAAAAAAATTTTTTTTTTTTTTTTTAAAAATTTTTGGTTTTTTTTTTTTGGGGGGGATTTTTTTGTTTTTTTTTTTTTTTTTTTTTTAAAAAAAAAAAAAAAAAAGGGGGGGGTTTTTTCCCCTTTTTTTTTTTTTTTAAAAAATTTTTTTTTTTTAAAAAAAAATTTTTTTTTTTAAAAAAAAAAAAGGGGGGGTTTTTTGTTTTTTTTTTTGGGCCTTCCCTTTTCATTTTGGGTTTTTTTTTTGGGGTTTTTTTTTTTTTTTTTTTTTTGGGGGGGAAAATTTTTTTTTTTTTTTTAAAAAAAAGGGGGTTTAAAAAAATTTTTGGTTTTTAATTTTTTTTTATTTTTTTTTTTTGGGGAAAAAAAACCCCCCCTTTTTTTGGGGTTGGGAAAAAACCGGCCCCGGGGGGGCCCCCCCCTTTTTTTTTTTGGGTTTGGTTTTTTTGGGGGGGAAGGTTTTTTTCCCCCCCCTTTTTAAAAATTTTTAAATTTGGGGGGGAAAAAAAAAAAATTTTCCCTTTTTTTTAAATTTTTTTGGGGGCCCTCGGGTTTTTTTTTTTGGGGGCCCCCTTTTTTTCCCCCCCCCCCCCCCCCCCCCCCCCCCCCGGGTTTTTCCCCCCCCCCCCCCCCCCCCCCCCCCCCTGAGGGCCAGGTTTCCTCCAGACGTGACGCTTGGCATTCAGGCCAAAGAGTTCAATTTTGGTTTCATCAGACCAGAGAATCTTGTTTCTCATGGTCTGAGAGTCTTTAGGTGCCTTTTGGCAAACTCCAAGTGGGCTGTCGTGCCTTTTACTGAGGAGTGTCTTCCGTCTGGCCACTCTACCATAAAGGCCTGATTGGTGGAGTGCTCTGTCAAGATTGACCACAGAGGAACTCTGGATCTCTGTCAGCGTGACCATCGGGTTCTTGTTCACCTCCCTAGACAGGAGTGTGCCTTTCCAAATCATGTCCAATCAATTTAATTTACCACAGGTGGACTCCAATCAAGTTGTAGAAACCTCTTAAGGATTATCAATGGAAACAGGATGCACCTGAGCTCAATTTCGAGTCTCATAGCAAAGGGTATGAATACTTATGTAAATAAGGTATTTCTGTTTTTTAATTGTAATACATTTGCAAAAATTTCTAAAAACCTGTTTTCACTTTGTCAATATGGGTTATTGTGTGTAGATTGAGGAAGAACATTTAATTAATCAATTTTAGAATAAGGCTGTAACGTAACAAAATGTGGAAAAAGTCAAGGTGTCTGAATACTTTTTGAAAGCACTTTGTATATAGTAAGAATATTATGTTTGTTAACATTTATGTTAATGTTAGTTTACCCTTAAATGTTTTATTTTACTTGGTGCCTCTTTGGACAGACCCATGTTGTGATGATGTGGTGTTCTGAAGACACCAGCAGGTGGCGCTAGTGGACTGCTGAAATGACTTTACCCAACAAGTCTGGGGCAGGCCACTCAGTTTTCTTGGGTTGAGATAGAAGAAGACATTTCCACTGTACACATCATCACCATATCTATTAATAAGCTAAATTGATTAGAAAACAAACATCCCTATTCTTCCACGCGCTTCTCCCCAAGCCCACACAAGGTAGTTGAGGAAGGATGTAGCACTGGGTGTCTAAATGTGTTGTTTGTTACGCAGGTGATTTCTGAGGAAGGGGTCAGCTTTAAGGTCAGTTTTATATCTCTGTCTCTTTCTCTCTTTCTCCCTCTCTGTGCTGTGATTATGTGGTGACACTGTCTGTGCTCGGTGACGCTCTAAGTGTTTTTGATTGGCTGTTGAATGATTTGATTGCCCTAGCTTGTCTTGTGATGAGGTAGCAGCTAGCTCTGGTGCAAGTTCTTGTTCTAACTATCAGTCCCAGGCTTTAGGGCCAGATCCCCAGTCAGTCACCTAGCAACCCCTCCTGAGTACCGCCCCCCTTGCAGCTTTGTCTGCCACTGGGTGTGATGTGCTGTCAGGCTGCAGCTGTAGGCTGAGGACTATGCTTTGCACTCTTCATTAGTTAGTGTTGCAGTTTGTTTGCCCCTCTGTTACTGTAAGGTCATCCTTTGCTTAGCTTCTGTCAGCTCAATGAATTTGGCACCTGTAGTTAGTGAGAATATGCTTTCTCTTCGATAGGCTACAATTTGTAAGCAGACAGACCAGAAGTAGTTTCTAGACACTTGTTAACCAACCTGCAGTGATCTAATTGATTCACAATACTAAATTAATTCACATACTAATCTAATCACCTATTACTTCGAGTGCTTCCTCTGTTTGATAAGTCGCTTTTCCCTTTCAATTCTCTTATCAATCACTTGGAGAGAATCTCAAGATCAGTATAAAATGTTAAACCTAGCCATTCAGTTAATTGGGGGGGGGGGGGAAGTTACTGAGGTTGATGAACTGTTTCTTAGGTAGCTTGATGAATGATAATGAACCTTGTATTTTGACCAAATTCCAATCTGTGTCTGGCTTTGGGATTCTCTGTGTGTTTGTATGTGTCCCTCCGTCCATCTGACCGTGTGTGTCCGTGTGTGTGTGTGTGTGTGTGTTTGACAACAGATTGTGGGGAACGGCAGTGAGCAGCAGCTGCAGAAGGAGCTGGAGGATGTTCTGATGGACCCCTCTGTAGCTGAGCAGATTCTGAGCGGTGGGGGTAGTGGTGGTGGCTTGGGAGACCAGGTGGAAGGGGGGCACCATGTGTCCCACCCCACCACAGCAGCACCACCCCAGTCCGAGCCCCAACTGTGCCCTGATTCCCTCAGCGATTCCCTCGGTGACCCCCTCAGCACCCCGCCAAAAGTTGAGATGGTTCTGCCCGTCCAATCCGCACAAGGTGCACAGGAGAGCGAGCTGAATGAACGATCGTACCGTGGTGAGTGAGAGCAAGGATACCAAATTAATCCCTACTCCAGGGGTAGGCAAACTTTTTGGCTCGAGGGCCACATCGGGGTTTCGAAATTCAACAATTTTTTTTACGGATTTGTTTGTCAAAATGTATTTGCGGTCCAGAAAAGGGGCTCTTATTGGAAAATATATAGGTACAGTGAGGGAAAAAAGTATTTGATCCCCTGCTGATTTTGTACGTTTGCCCACTGACAAAGAAATGATCAGTCTACAATTTTAATGGTAGGTTTATTTGAACATTGAGAGACAGAATAACAACAAAAAAATCCAGAAAAACGCATGTCAAAAATGTTATAAATTGATTTTCATTTTAATGAGGGACATAAGTATTTGACCCCCTCTCAATCAGAAAGATTTCTGGCTCCCAGGTGTCTTTTATACAGGTAACGAGCTGAGATTAGGAGCACACTCTTAAAGGGAGTGCTCCTAATCTCAGTTTGTTACCTGTATAAAAGACACCTGTCCACAGAAGCAATCAATCAATCAATCAGATTCCAAACTCTCCACCATGGCCAAGACCAAAGAGCTCTCCAAGGATGTCAGGGACAAGATTGTAGACCTACACAAGGCTGGAATGGGCTACAAGACCATCGCCAAGCAGCTTGGTGAGAAGGTGACAACAGTTGGTGCGATTATTCGCAAATGGAAGAAACACAAAAGAACTGTCAATCTCCCTCGGCCTGGGGCTCTATGCAAGATCTCACCTTGTGGAGTTGCAATGATCATGAGAACGGTGAGGAATCAAGCCAGAACTACACAGGAGGATCTTGTCAATGATCTCAAGGCAACTGGGACCATAGTCACCAAGAAAACAATTGTTAACACACTACGCCGTGAAGGACTGAAATCCCGCAGCGCCCGCAAGGTCCCCCTGCTCAAGAAAGCACATATACAGGCCCGTCTGAAGTTTGCCAATGAACATCTGAATGATTCAGAGGAGAACTGGGTGAAAGTGTTGTGGTCAGATGTGACCAAAATCGAGCTCTTTGGCATCAACTCAACTCGCCGTGTTTGGAGGAGGAGGAATGCTGCCTATGACCCCAAGAACACCATCCCCACCGTCAAACATGGAGGTGGAAACATTATGCTTTGGGGGTGTTTTTCTGCTAAGGTGGACAGGACAACTTCACCGCATCAAAGGGACGATGGACGGGGCCATGTACCATCAAATCTTGGGTGAGAACCTCCTTCCCTCAGCCAGGGCATTGAAAATGGGTCGTGGATGGATATTCCAGCATGACAATGACCCAAAACACACGGCCAAGGCAACAAAGGAGTGTCTCAAGAAGAAGCACATTAAGGTCGTTGAGTGGCCTAGCCAGTCTCCAGACCTTAATCCCATAGAAAATCTGTAGAGGGAGCTGAAGGTTTGAGTTGCCAAACGTCAGCCTCGAAACCTTAATGACTTGGAGAAGATCTGCAAAGAGGAGTGGGACAAAATCCCTCCTGAGATGTGTGCAAACCTGGTGGCCAACTACATGAAATGTCTGACCTCTGTGATTGCCAACAAGGGTTTTACCACCAAGTACTAAGTCATGTTTTGCAGAGGGGTCAAATACTTATTTCCCTCATTAAAATGCAAATCAATTTATAACATTTTTGACATGCGATTTTCTGGATTTTGTTGTTGTTATTCTGTCTCTCACTGTTCAAATAAACCTACCATTAAAATTATAGACTGATCATGTCTTTGTCAGTGGGCAAACTTACAAAATCAGCAGGGGATCAAATACTTTTTTCCCTCACTGTATGTTATCATTTCTACATAGTTTTCTGTCTATTTGTAGATGTTCAAGAGTAGCCTGGAGTGTTTTTTTACCCCAAAATAATCACCTCCAGCTGGCTGGATTGAATGGACTCCAGCCCGCGGAGCGTAGTTTGCCCACCCCTGCCCTACACCCTAGGCACCTCTGTAGATATGAGAGGATTGGATAGATGTAAGAACCTCAGTAATAGCTTTATCTTGTCTTCTGATTGGCTGGGTGGAAATATCAAGTCTGTATATCCAATGTCCTAGGGGTAGGGTCTACGGTTAGATTTTGTATTCAGGGTTAATCTGATGTCTCTCTCTCTCACTAGACCTGCTCTGTGTGACCTTTGACTTCCACAGGGGATGAGTCATCTTCGGAGTGCAGTCCCTGTTCGCCCATCCCAGACGAGGACAGTGTGGTGTTCAATAAGCTGACCTATCTGGGCTGTGCCTCGGTCAACGCGCCCCGCAGCGAGGTGGAAGCTCTCCGCATGATGACCATCCTCAGAGGGCAGTGCCAGCTACCCCTAGACGTCACCCTGTCTGTGCCCGGCGTCTCAGAGGGCACCGTCAGGTCAGGACTGCTTGCCAAACAAACCAACACCGGAGATTAGTGTGTGTGTGAGAGTGTGTGTGTGTGTGTGTGTGTGTGTGTGTGAGGCTCCTAAAATCTAAACAAACAAACATGAGACTGAGACACAATTGTGGTAATGCTGTGATATATAGTCGGTATATAATCTATATATAGTCAGCATATAGTCTGCATATAGTCTACATACAGTGAGGGGAACAAAGTATTTGATCCCCTGCTGATTTTGTACGTTTGCCCACTGACAAAAAAATTATCAGTCTATAATTTTAATGGGAGGTTTATTTGATCAGTGAGAGACAGAATAACAACAAAAAAATCCAGAAAAACGCATGTCAAAAATGTTATAAATTGATTTGCATTTTAATGAGGGAAATAAGTATTTGACCCCCTCTCAATCAGAAAGATTTCTGGCTCCCAGGTGTCTTTTATAAAGGTAACGAGCTGAGATTAGGAGCACACTCTTAAAGGGAGTGCTCCTAATCTCAGTTTGTTACCTGTATAAAATACACCTGTCCACAGAAGCAATCAATCAATCAGATTCCAAACTCTCTGCCAAGGCCAAAGAGCTCTCCAAGGATGTCAGGGACAAGATTGTAGACCTACACAAGGCTGGAATGGGCTTCAAGACCATCGCCAAGCAGCTTGGTGAGAAGGTGACAACAGTTGGTGCGATTATTCGCAAATGGAAGAAACACAAAATAACTGTCAATCTCCCTCGGCCTGGGGCTCCATGCAAGATCTCACCTCATGGAGTTGCAATGATCATGAGAACGGTGAGGAATCAGCCCAGAACTACACGGGAGGATCTTGTCAATGATCTCAAGGCAGCTGGGACCTTAGTCACCAAGAAAACAATTGGTAACACACTACGCCGTGAAGGACTGAAATCCTGCAGCGCCCGCAAGGTCCCCCTGCTCAAGAAAGCACATATACAGGCCCGTCTGAAGTTTGCCAATGAACATCTGAATGATACAGAGGAGAACTGGGTGAAAGTGTTGTGGTCAGATGAGACCAAAATGGAGCTCTTTGGCATCAACTCAACTCGCCGTGTTTGGAGGAGGAGAAATGCTGCCTAAGACCCCAAGAACACCATCCCCACCGTCAAACATGGAGGTGGAAACATTATGCTTTGGGGGTGTTTTTCTGCTAAGGGGACAGGACAACTTCACCGCATCAAAGGGACGATGGACGGGGCCATGTACCGTCAAATCTTGGGTGAGAACCTCCTTCCCTCAGCCAGGGCATTGAAAATGGGTCGTGGATGGGTATTCCAGCATGACAATGACCCAAAACACACGGCCAAGGCAACAAAGGAGTGGCTTAAGAAGAAGCACATTAACATTTACATTTACATTTACGTCATTTAGCTGACGCTCTTATCCAGAGCGACTTACAGTTAGTGCATACATTATTATTTTCATACTGGCCCCCCGTGGGAAACGAACCCACAACCCTGGCGTTGCAAACGCCATGCTCTATCAACTGAGCTACCTCCCTGCCTGCCATTCCCTCCCCTACCCTGGACGACGCTGGGCCAATTGTGCGCCGCCCCATTGATGAGGATAAACTGTAACGCCCTCTGCTGGCAGAGCTCAATTCAATGTTGACAAAAAATGTGATGTCAGGTGGGACCCTAATTGCTGTTACACAGGGTTCCAAGGTCAGAGAATAGAACCCTGGTTGATGTTGCACAGGGATCTGTGTAAGAGGGACTATTTGATGTTGGATGCTTTCGGATCAGTGAAGTCCCAGTTCAATAATGGACATAGTTGTGTCAGTGGGGGGGACCCTATTTGATGTTGAGCCGGATCCTGCGGCAATGGGTGGTCTTGAGCTCAGCCAAGGCTTTCTCCAGATCCTGGATGAGGTGCATCAGGGTGGCAGGGTCAGTCTGTAGCACCTTAGCACTCTTCTCACCTCCACTCTCCTCCAGGTGCAGCTTCATACTCAGTGTAGGCTTCACCTGGTGCCTTAGGGCACGACTGGCCAGACCAAAAAAAGCAGACAGGCAGGCAGAGAGACAACAGTCCCTGTACATCCAGCCTCCACTCCAGGTCGTGGCAGTGAGTGGGTCAGTACACTGAGGATGTGTCGGATCTCCTTCATGTGGTCCAAGTAGAGCTGCAGCTGGTTCAGCTCCTCTGTGAAGCCCAGCACCGAGTCCTGAAAGTCCACCTCAGAGATCATGAGTTTGGAGCCTGGAGTGGCCTAGCCAGTCTCCAGACATTAATCCCATAGAAAATCTGTGGAGGGAGCTGAAGGTTTGAGTTACCAAACGTCAGCCTCGAAACCTTAATGACTTGGAGAAGATCTGCAAAGAGGAGTGGGACAAAATCCCTCCTGAGATGTGTGCAAACCTGGTGGCCAACTACAAGAAACGTCTGACCTCTGTGATTGCCAACAAGGGATTTGCCACCAAGTACTAAGTCATGTTTTGCAGAGGGGTCAAATACTTATTTCCCTCATTAAAATGCAAATCAATTTATAACATTTTTGACATGCGTTTTTCTGGATTTTGTTGTTGTTATTCTGTCTCTCACTGTTCAAATAAACCTACCATTAAAATTATAGACTGATCATGTCTTTGTCAGTGGGCAAACATACAAAATCAGCAGGGGATCAAATACTTTTTTCCCTCACTGTACATGTAGGTTTGGTTAGGTGATTGATTGATTGATTGATTGATTGAAGTACTATGTACATATAGGTGGGGGGTGAAAAGCAGAAAGTCCGGGTAGCCATTTAATGACCTGTTCAGCAGTCTTATGGCTTTGGGGTTGAAGCTGTTCAGGAACCTTTTGGTCCCAGATTTGGCGCTCCGGTACCACTTGCCATGCGGTTGCAGAGTGAACAGACTGTGACTTGGGTATATAGTCTGCATATAGGCTGCATATAGTCTGTATATAATCTGTATGTAGTCTCTATATAGGCTGTATGTAGTCTGTATGTAGTCTCTATATAGGCTGTATGTAGTCTGTATGTAGTCTCTATATAGGCTGTATATAATCTGTATAAAATCTGTATATAGTCTCTATATAGTCTGTATGTAGTCTGTATCTAGTCTCTATATAGGCTGTATGTAGTCTGTATCTAGTCTCTATATAGACTGTATATAATCTGTATGTAGTCTCTATATAGGCTGTATGTAGTCTGTATGTAGTCTCTATATAGGCTGTATGTAGTCTGTATCTAGTCTCTATATAGGCTGTATGTAGTCTGTATCTAGTCTCTATATAGGCTGTATGTAGTCTGTATCTAGTCTCTATATAGGCTGTATGTAGTCTGTATGTAGTCTCTATATAGGCTGTATATAATCTGTATATAGTCTCTATATAGTCTATATTTTACCTTTACCAATTAACTTTGGACCATAACAGCCATAACCTTACCAGACTGTTTTTCTGCAGGTTGCTGGACCCCCAGACAAGCACAGAGATAGCCAGCTACCCCATCTACAAGATACTGTTCTGTGTGCGTGGTCATGACGGCACGCCAGAGAGTGACTGCTTCGCCTTCACAGAGAGCCACTACAACGCAGAGATCTTCCATATACATGTCTTCCGCTGTGAGATCCAAGAGGCGGTGAGGACCTGCACTACACACACACACACACACACACACACACACACACACACACACACACACACACACACACACACTCACACACACAGAGATTCGGGGATGGTGACAGACTGAGACATCAGCACTTGGACATACACTTTACAAAAGCCCAGTGGCAAGTCATTCACTTCCAGTGACTGAGTTGTTTAGCTCCATGTTGCCTGGGTCTTCCTTCGCCACACTACAGTTCCACACACATTTGACTGCATTGTAAATCTTGAACTGCAGTACCCTTTTTCACTGTACCAGATTCTTCAATCTGACAGCACACTTCTCTCATGCTGCCCACACACAATGCCCAAACTTTCATGTTGAGATGAAATATCTCTTCCTGTGTGAGCTGTTTACCCCTCTCTTCCTCTCTACCCATCACTACCTCTCTCTCTACCCCTCTACCCCTCTCTCTCTCTACCCCTCTCTCTCTACCCCTCTACCTCTCTCTCTACCTCTCTAAACCCTCTACCTCTCTCTACCCCTCTACCCCTCTCTCTACCCCTCTCTCTCTACCCCTCTACCTCTCTCCCCTACCCCTACCTCTCTCTGCCTACCTCTCGCTCTACCTCTCTCTACCCCTCTCTACCTCTCTCTCTACCCCTCTACCTCTCTCTCTACCCTCTACCCTCTCTCTCTAACCCTCTACCTCTCTACCCCTCTACCTCTCTCTGCCTACCTCTCGCTCTACCTCTCTCTAACCCTCTACCTCTCTGCCTACCTCTCTCTACCTCTCTCTAACCCTCTACCTCTCTCTACACCCTCTCTGCCTACCTCTCCTACACCTCTACCCTACTTCTTACCCTCTCTAAACCCCCCTACCTCTCTCTCTACCTCTCTCTACACACTCCTCTTTCCCTACCTCTCTCTCTACCTCTCTCTATCCCTCTCTCTCTACCTCTCTCTACCCTCTCTCTCTACCCTCTCTCAACCCCTTACCTCTTCTCTACCTCTCTCTACCTTCTCTGCCTACCTCTCGCTTCTACCTCTCTCTACACCACTACTATCTCCTCTGCACTACCTCTCTATACCTCTATGCCATACCTCTCTCTAACCTCTCTCACCCCTCTAACACATTCTCTTCTCTCTCTCTCTCTCTCTCTCTCCTCTCTCTACTCTCTGCCTCTCTCTCTCTCTCTCTCTCTCTCTCTCTCTCTCTCTCTCTCTCTCTCTCTCTCTCTCTCTCTCTCTCTCTCTCTCAATTTAATTTAATTTAAGGGCTTTATTGGCAAGGGAAACTTATGTTAACATTGCCAAAGCAAGTGAAGTAGATAGTAAACAAAAGTGAAATAAACAATAAATATGAACAGTAAACATTACACTCAGAAGTTCCAAAAGAATAAAGACATTATAATGTCATATTATGTGTATATATACAGTGTTGTAACAATGTGCAAATAGTTAAAGGACAAATGGGAAAATAAATAAACATAAATATGGGTTGTATTTACAATGTTGTTTGTTCTTCACTGGTTGCCCTTTTCTTGTGGCAACAGGTCACAAATCTTGCTGCTGTGATGGCACACTGTGGTATTTCACCCAATAGATATGGGAGTTGATCCAAATTGGATTTGTTTTCGAAATCTTTGTGGGTCTGTGTAATCTGAGGGAAATATGTGTCTCTAATATGGTCATACATTTGGCTGGAGGTTTGGAAGTGCAGCCTCATTTTGTGGGCAGTGTGCACATAGCCTGTCTTCTCTTGAGAGCCAGGTCTGCCTATGGCGGCCTTTCTCAATAGCAAGGCTATGCTCGCTGAGTTTGTACATAGTCAAAGCTTTCCTTAAGTTTGAGTCAGTCACAGTGGTCAGGTATTCTGCTACTGTGTACTCTCTGTTTAGGGCCAAATAGCATTCTAGTTTGCTCTGTTTGTTTGTAAATTCTTTCCAATGTGTCAAGTAATTCTCTTTTTGTTTTCTCATGATTTGGTTGGGTCTAATTGTGTTGTTGTCCTGGGGCTCTGTGGGGTCTGTTTGTGTTTGAACAGAGCCCCAGGACCATCTTACTTAGGGAACTCTTCTCCAAGTTCATCTCTCTGTAGGTGATGGCTTTGTTATGGAAGGTTTGGGAATCGCTTAATTTTAAGTGGTTATAGAATTTAACGGCTCTTTTCTGGATTTTGATAATTAGCGGGTATCGACCTAATTCTGCTCTGCATGCATTATTTGGTGTTTTTCGTTGTACACTGAGGATATTTTTTGCAGAATTCTGCATGCAGAGTCTCAATTTGGTGTTTGTCCCATTTTGTGAATTCTTGGTTGGTGAGCGGACCCCAGACCATAAAGGGCAATGGGTTCTATAACTGATTCAAGTATTTTTAGCCAGATCCTAATTGGTATGTCGAATTGTATGTTCCTTTTGATGGCATAGAAGGCCCTTCTTGCCTTGTCTCTCAGATCGTTCACAGCTTTGTGTAAGTTACCTGTGGCGCTGATGTTTAGGCCGAGGTATGTATAGTTTTTTGTGTGCTCTAGGGGCAACGGTTTTGTCTAGGTGGAATTCTGCCTTTGTGGTTACTGGCAACTGGACTCTTTTTGGAAACCACCCATTATTTTGGTCTTACTGATATTTTTCTGTCAGGGCCCAGGTCTGACAGAATCTGTGCAGAGGATCTATGTGCTGCTGTAGGCCCTCCTTGGTTGGTGACAAGCACCAGATAATCAGGAAACAGTAGACATTTGACTTCGGATTAATTTGACTTCAGATTCTCCCTCTCTCTCTCTCTCTCTCTTACCGTCTCTCTTCTACGCTCTCTCTCTACCGCTTCTCTACCGCTCTCTCTCTAACTCGCTTCTCTCTCTCTTACTCTACTCGCTCTACTCTTCTCTCTCACGCTCTCTCTCTCTCCGCTCCTCTCTACCCTCTCTCTCTCTCTCTTACCCCTCTCTCTACGCTCTCTCTCTACCGCTCTCTCTCTATACCTCTCTCTACCTCTCATCTACCGCTCTCTCTCTACCGCTCTCTCTCTACCTCTCGCTACCTCTCTCTCTCTACCTCTCTCTCTCTCTAACTCTCTCTCTCTCTACCTCTCTCTCTCTACCTCTCTCTCTCTACCTCTCTCTACTCTCTCTCTACCTCTCTCAATTCAAATCAATTCAAAGGGCTTAGCATAGACAATAAACAGAAGGGAAACATTAGTAAACATTACACTCACAAAAGTTTTAAAATAATATAGACATTTCAAATGTTATATTATTGGCTATGTACAGTGTTGTAATGATGTGCAAGTAGTTGAAGTATGAAAGGGAAAATGGTAAACAGATAAATGTAGGTTGTATTTACAATGTTGTTTGTGTTCCAATGGTTGCCCTTTTCTCATGGCAACAGGCCACAAATCTTGCTGCTGTGATTGCACACTGCGGTATTTCGCCTAACAGATATGGGAGTTTATCAATGTTTTATTTGTTTTCAAATTCTTTGTGGGTCTGTGTAATCTGTGGGAAATATGTGTCTCTAAAGTGGTCATACATTTGGCCGGAGGAAGTGTAGCTCAGTTTCCACCTCATTTTGTGGGCAGTGGGCACATAGCCTGTCTTCTCTTGAGAGCCAGGTCTGCCTATGGCAACCTCTCTTAATAGCAAGGCTATGCTCACTGAGTCTGTACATAGGCAAGGATTTTCTTAATTTGGGGTCAGTCACAGTGGTCAGCTATTCTACCACTGTGTACTCTCTGTTTAGGGCCAGATAGCATTCCAATGTATTCTGTTTTTTGGTTGATTCTTTCCAGTGTGTCAAATGGTTACCTTTTTGCTTTCTCATAATTTGGTTGGGTCTAAATGTGTTTCTGGCCTGGGGCTCTGTTCACAAACACAAACAGACCCCACAGAGCCCTCAGAAACAGCTGATTGAGGGGACTCTTCTCCAGGTTCATGTCTCTGTAGGTGAGGGTTTTGTGGAGGAATGTGTGGGCATCGCTTCCCTTTAGGTGATTATAGAATTTAACAGCTCTTTTCTGGATTTTGATAACTAGCGGGTATAGTCCTAATTATTCTCTGCGTGCATTGTTTGGGCTTTTGCGTTGTACATGAAGTACAGTGCATTTGGAAAGTATTTAGACCCTTTTTCCACATTTTGTTACTTTACAGCCTTATTCTAAAATGGATTAAATAAAAACAAATCCTCATCAATCTACACACAATACCCCATAATGACAAAGCAAAAACAGGTTTTTAGAAATCTTTGCACATTTATTAAAAATGTAAAACAATTCAATTAATTTGCAAAAATGTTTGAAAACCTGTTTTTGCTTTGTCATTATGGGGTATTGTGTGTAGATTGATGAGGATTTGTCTTTTTTTAATCAATTTTAGATTAAGGCTGTAACGTAACAAAAAGTCAAAGGGTCTGAATACTTTATGGGTCCTACTAGTGAGACCTCATAACTTTTCAGGCTTCCCAAATGTTTCCAATAAATTCCCATCAAAGTAGAATTTCCATGTAGAATGTTAGCTTGGCAAATTTCCATGTAGAATGTTAGCTTGGCAAATTTCCATGTAGAATGTTAGCTTGGCATGATTCCAGATGAGGATTGCATTTATGGTCTAGTGCCTTGATGGTCAACACCTGTTTTATTCGGGCACGCACAATATTCACATTGATCTCCTCCTAGAAGTGTGTGTTTGTGTGTGTCCGTGTGACACTGCGATCTTCTATAAGTGTGTATGTTCTGAGTGTCTCTGTGTGTGTGTGTCTCTGGACACTGGTGAGTATGAGCTGAAACCAGACATGTTACGTAGTGTAAGAAGAGAGGCAGAGCTGTGTGGCTCAACCTGTGTAAGGGTCATTAGTTTCTCTACAGGGGAGCGGGAGATAACCCTATAGGGATCACCTAACATGAGACAGAGAATTCAGCTCAGCTGACACTCAGTAAACAGAGCCCTGTCTAGAATGATACTGTATCATGTCTCCCAGTAAACAGAGCCCTGTCTAGAATGATACTGTATCATGTCTCCCAGTAACTGAAAAGCTCTCAAGGACGCTAATGGTGTGTGTACGTGTATGTCGCTGATCTTCAATCCGTGTGTGTGTGTGTGTGTGTGTGTGTGTGTGTGTGTGTGTGTGTTTGAACTCCACAGGTCAGCAGGATACTGTACAGTTTTGCCACGGCCTTTAGGCGGTCCGCCAAGAAGACGCTCCTCTCGGGCTTGGCTCCGCTCCTGACGCCAGACAGCCACGTCTTCACCTTCACCGTCAGTCTAGAGATTAAGGAGGATGATGGGAAAGGGACCTTTAGGTATGGTGCATCACAACCATGTTAGAGGAACATGTTATCTATCTTATCAATCTGTACACTAGTGTAATTGTCCCTAGTCTCTAGGTGTGGTATGGTATCTACTATATGTTATCAATGTGTTAGAACATGCAATCTACTGTATGTTGTCAGTGTGTTTGAACTTGCTATCTACTGTATGTTACCAATGTGTTAGAACATGCTATCTACTGTATGTTGTCAATGTGGTAGAACATGCTATCTACTGTATATTGTCAATGTGTTAGAACATGCTATGTTATCAATGTGTTAGAACATGCTATCTACTGTATGTTATCAATGTGTTAGAACATGCTATCTACTGTATGTTATCAATGTGTTAGAACATGCTATCTACTGTATGTTATCAATGTGTTAGAACATGCTACCTACTGTATGTTATCAATGTGGTAGAACATGCTATCTACTGTGTGTTATCAATGTGTTAGAACGTGCTATCTACTGTATGTTATCAGTGTGTTAGAACGTGCTATCTACTGTATGTTATCAATGTGTTAGAGCATGCTATCTACTGTATGTTATCAGTGCGTTAGAACATGCTATCTACTGTATATTGTCAATGTGTTAGAACATGCTATGTTATCAATGTGTTAGAACATGCTATCTACTGTATGTTATCAATGTGTTAGAACATTCCCATCTACTGTATGTTAACAATGTGTTAGAACGTGCTATCTACTGTATGTTATCAGTGTGTTAGAACGTGCAATTTACATTTACATTTAAGTAATTTAGCAGACGCTCTTATCCAGAGCGACTTACAAATTGGATGAACAGTGTCTGTCCCTTAGCTCCTCAGGGTTAATGGGAATAGCAGCAGACATTCATAAGCTTCATGTTGACCTTCCAGCAGAACTCAATAATATCACAGAAAATAATAACATCATAGACAATAGAATTCAACCACCTGGAGAGAGATAGCTAGCCTAGTGTTACCAACAGGAAATTGGATCAATTGGCCAAGCAGTACCACAGGGAAAGGGGATACCTAGTCAGTTGCACAACTCAATGCATTCAACCAAAATGTGTCTTCCGCATTTAACCCAACCCCTGCTGCACCTAGGTCAGTAGGACACACAGTGTCCCAATTAGGCTTGGGTGGTATACCGTATATACCGTATAATGGGTTATTTGGAAATAGCCACAGGAGGGTTTTTCAATACCGTTAATACTATTTCTTTGAAGTTTTTAAAATAAATGTGAATATTTGTTGCTACTTTTTAAGTAAATCCCTCAAGTCAACTTATACGTTAGGAGATAAAGAAGATCGCATTCTTCATTTCACCTGTCACATAATGTTTCATTATGAAGCTTACCGGTAGTCCCCAGCCACGTGGTGTTTGTTCACAAGCAACGACGAGAGACCAGAGCCTTGTGAGTCACTCACTGTTGTTCAGCACAAGTCAGGTGATCTAGTTACAGTATGGAATTTACAACTAAATGTTTGCCAGCGAGATATCTTATAACTATTAAGTTTACTGTCTAAAATGTGGCAAATGCTTTGGTTTGCTAATTTAGTAGCTAGTTAGCTATCTAGCTAAGTGGTTAACTTCTTCCAAAATAAAGCTTTGCTTGGTAACAGCAGAAAATCCCTTCCCGGAGCAAGAGCCTTGCTGTCTAATATTTGTTTTGTGCGTGCAGCAAACTGAGAGTAGCATTTTTTTGTTACTTGTATAACTTTTGCATTTAGTTAGCATTCTATATGGGTTTTTACATGTACTTGTTAGCATTGCTAACCTTCGGATTAGAGGCAGAGTGGGGTTTGAAAATAGCGCTCCTTGTGTTCAGTGCCGGTATTACCGAATATCCCGGTATTATAATAATAATAATAATAATAATAATAATAATATGCCATTTAGCAGACGCTTTTATCCAAAGGGACTTGCAGTCATGTGCGCATAAATTTTTACGTATGGGTGGTCCCGGGGATCGAACCCACTACCCTGGCGTTACAAGGCCATGCTCTACCAATTGAGCTACAGAGGACCACATGAAGGTATGATAATCTGGATACCGCCCAAGCCTAGTCTCAATACTCAACAGTGGCTTCCTCTCATTGGCTAGAACCTATCCTACTAGTGTCGGATCAAGCCGGGTGAAGAAAAGGAAAGAAGGAAAGGAGACAAGTAAAGGAGGCCACTGTAGAGTATTGAGATAAAGCCATTGCCTCATTTTCAGTTCTGGCTTGAAAGCATTTTAAACATGTGAGATGGGACGAGGGGTGGTAGAAGAGGTTACATTATTTATCTTCAAATATTTTGGTGTGCTACAAGTCCTGTATAACATGTTTCAAAGCTGTTGATAGACTGCTGCAGACAGATTGACTGAAAGTCTGAATATAATAATAATAATAAGTCTTACTATAATAATACTGACTACAGTATATAATAGTGCTATCTACTGTGTGTTATCAATGTGGTAGAACATGCGATCTACTGTATGTTATCAATGTGTTAGAACATGCGATTTTAACGGTATTTTATCTATGTGTTAGAACATGGCTATCTGCTGTAATGTATCAGTGTGTTAAACATGCTATCCTACTGTTGTGTTTGGTATGTTTTAGAACATGCCTATGTATGGTCAATGTGTTAAGAACATGCTTCTACTGTATGTTATCAGTGTGTTAGGAAATTGCTATCTACTGTATGTTATCAAGTGTGTTAGGAATATGCCTACTACTGTAGGTTATCAGTGGTTGTAGAACATGCTATCGTACTGTATGTTATCAATGTGGTTAGGAACATTGCAATCTACTGTATGTTATCAATGGGTGGTTAGAATATGCCTATCTACTGTAATGTTTATCACTGTGTTAGACATGCTATTTACGGTATGTTATCAAATGGTATACTGTATGTTACCATGTGTTAGAACATGCATCTGACTGTTTATGTGTTAACATGTTTAACATGAATTGTATGTATCAATGTGTAGAACATGCAATCACTGTGTGTTATCAGTGGTTAAACATGCATTATGATGTGTTATCAAATGTAACTCTATTTACGTATGTTATGTTAAAAATGCTATGTTCCATGTGTTAGACATGATCTAAACTGTATCGTACATGTGTTGTAACTGATCTCTGTTAGAATCAGTTTACGAACTGTGTTATGAAGTGTGTTAGAACATGCTATCTACTGTGTGTTGTCATGTGTTAAACATGCTATCTACTGTGTGTGTCAGGTTAAACATGCTATCTACTGATGTTTCATGTGTTGAACATGCTACTATGTGTGTTATATGTGTTAGAACATGCTCTACTGTGTGTTTCAGTGTGTTAAACATGCTATCTACTGGTTATGTTGTCAGCGGTTATAAAATGTGTTACTATCATCAATTGATCTATTTGTTATATTGTTAACATGCTTTTATGATTTCCCTTCAGTTAGAATATTACTGTGACTTTAGAACGTTAAACTGCTATTCTACTATTTGTTGCATTTTAAAGGTCTCTATCCCCTCTCAAATACATCATTGTCTAATGTTAGCTTTGTAAATCTCTGCCATTCAAGATCTACTTGGAAACATGTTAAGGAACAAGGCACATCAAATTAGCAATTGTATTTTTTTGAAGTTCTTACCCTCTCAATACACCGACTTACTTAATTTAGTCACCTAAAGACTTGCATCCATCCTCGATCCTGGAAAATGGCCTTAGTGCAACAAGGAATGACAAATAGCCAAATCGACTTTATTGAGCCTCTCAGATAGGAACCATCCTGACCCAGATTGACCCAGACAGAGAGATGCTCCTGTCCCGATACCCTGGCTTCACAAGGGTGACTCTAGCAGTGACGCCGTGGCCAGGCAACACAGACACATGCGAATGCTCTTCAGGCAGGCATAGATAGAGGCCTATGCTCTGGGCTGGGTTTTATTTTGGATGAGAGCGGGATCTGGTCTCTAGAACTAATTGCTTCTCCTCCAAGGCGCTGTCTCAATTGCTTAAATATCTGTCCCGTTCTCCTCTCCTCCCCATCATAGTCTACAGTGTCTTCCTGTCCTCCCCTCCTCCCCGTCATCTGCACTGATTGGAAAAGACTGGTGGAAACAACATGGTGGAGGCTCATCAGTTCTCTTAGATCAGAGTGATGGAGGAGAGGACAGGGGCTGTATGTATCAAGTGTCTCAGAGTAGGAATGCTTATCTAGGATTTTGATCTAAAAGGCTAACCTGATCCTAGATCAACACTCCTTCTCTTAAAACATACTGCCCCAGCTTTTTAAGGCAATTAAGACATAGCCCTAAATCTAACCCGTCCTCCTCCTCCTCAGGCTCTGATGGGGGTTGTTTCCAATTCCCACCAAACAAGTCACTTCCCTTAGCTCACAAATGGCCAAATACTACACTGGTTGTTTTGAAAACAAAAATCCCATCGCTTATTTTTAGACTGGCATATTTCCTCCTCATTAAGCCTTGGGTTGCTTGTTTGTGGAATGTTGAGATCTAAGCGCAGCGTTCACACGCTAGCTAGTAATACGCAAGTCATTGCGATGTTACGCTCCAGGAATTCCAGAGCAGACACTATGACTACAGTACTCAGCAAAACTGCAAAGATTGTAAAGAGTAGTGTTGTGAGTGTGACGAGCTGAAATTGTCCTTTTTAAGGAACTTGGACGGTCTTACTGTTCAGTCTTCATCCTCTAATATGGTGTTTATTAGCAAATGTATTGGTTTTGTTAAACATGTATTTACAGAATTACTCTTAGACCGGGTGACACTGTTTTTATTTTGCAGAGTATCTTACTGTATGTCACGGAATCAGCCGAGGCTGCTCCTCCTCCTTGCTCGGGCAGGCTTCGGCGTTCGTCGTCCCCGGAATACGAGCTGCCACCGATCTATGTTTTCTGTGTTTTGACTGGTTTTGTCTTGATTGTGTACACCTGTTTCCTATTATGTTGTATTGTTTCCCCTATTTAACCCTCTGTCGTGCATTGTGTGTTGTGTGTTATTGTATTCGTCATCGGCAGTGTTCGTGTGCGGGTTGTTTTTCCTCCTTGTGTGGAGATTGTTTCTACTCTGGTTACTTTCAAGTAAAGTACGTTTCCAGTAAGCTCTGTGTCCTGCGCTTGACTTCGCCTACCGCATTCACCGTCGCTTTCTGACACTGTATTTACGATCTCACTAGCTCATAGCTTCTGTGTGGTGTATCTAACAGCATGTTCTAAGGGCCTCGAGTGTGTGCTGTATAAATTATTTGTGTAATATTTTGGGAGGAGGAGTCTGCTTTGATCAGGTTGACTCTTCTTTTTCTGCAGACATTCAAAACAGAAAGAATGATCAGTGCTCGCGTCATCACGTTAGATCAATGAAATGCATAAACAAACGCAAAGTGGAATATTATCATCATGTGTATGGTATTGTGAATTTCATGTAGCCCAACGCTCTCAGGGCAATGAGGCAAGATCTCTCCCAATCCCAGCCAAAGCATTTTAGAGTAAGAACTTCTCTTTTATTTTTCTATTTTTCCAGCACTGTGGCGAAAGACAAAGACAAGAACAGCTTCAAGCTGCGTCCGGGAATGGACAAGAAGGTCGTCGTCTACGTCCAGCAGACGTCCAATAAGGAGCTGGCCTTAGAGAGGTAACACAGACAGACACCGATAGAGAGGCCAATGCAGACATGACACAGTGTACTGTACATTTCTCCCTAAGTCTCGCCACCACCGAGAATTCTCAGTCTGGACGTCTCCCTGCTATTCATAACAGGCCGTAATTCAGTTATAATTGATAAACAACCGCTGTTTAATGTCCGTCTGTTTCCGAGTTGAAGTGTCCCAGTTTAGCCATGAGGATGTTTCTGTTCTGAGCCTGCTAATTCTCAACGGTTAATAACGTTGTTTTTAACCGCCGTCATCTCATTTCAATGGCTCTTTGTTATTTTACACTTCCTATACTGGGCCGGAATTGGAGAGCTCTGTTATCTTCTGTTATTTAATGCTCTGGTCTGTTTTATGAAGGATATATCGCTAGCTAGCCTGATACTATGTGGGGGATGAATCTGCTGAGGCTTTCCACCTGGTTCCACTCTTATGAGGTGTGTGTGTGTGTGTGGTCTGTGTTTCCGCTCTGTGCGTGTGCTCTTGTGTGTGTGTGTGTGTGTGTTCTGTGTGTGTGTGTGTTCCAGGTGCTTTGGCCTACTGCTGAGCCCAGGGAAGAACGTGAAGAACAGTGACATGCACCTGCTAGACCTAGAGTCGATGGGGAAGTCCTCCGATGGGAAGTCCTACATCATCACAGGGAGCTGGAATCCCAACACACCCCAGTTCCAGGCTGTCAACGAGGAGACACCCAAAGGTACAGCAGGCCTAACGGCCATCATGCAGTGGTGTCCATAGCTTGTTATGTAGTGCCAACTTAACGTTGTTATTTTTCCTGTCTGTGTATGACCACGATTCTAAGTATAATGACCCTAGATAGTTCATAGCCGACCGTGACCGTGGCTGACTCTGGCTGTGTCATGAATGTCTGTGGAATGCGGTAGGCCAGAGTCAAGCGCAGGACACAGAATGAAATGAAAATCTACTTTACTGAATAGTAAAGAAACAAGCAAAACCTCCAAACACAGGGAGGAGCAAACCCGCTCACAAACGACACTCGTAACAAGTAACAAACACGCACAACACACAGTGGGGGCGAACAGGTTAAATAGGGAATGACATCATACTATAATGGGAAACAGGTGCGCAACACTAGACAACAATCAGGTGAACATAGAAACATAAAACATAGATCGGCAGCAGCTAGTACTCCGGTGACGACGAACGCCGAAGCCTGCCCGAGCCAGAAAGAAGGGCAGTCTCGGCAGAATCCGTGACAGGCTAATATCATCTAGCTACATAGCTACGACCACAGCTACTGTATACCGGTTATATCGAGGATGTTTGTGTTCCAGATACGTTAATGTACAGGTCCACAACTTTAAGGTTTACATTGATGAGTGTTGGGTTCAAGTTTATGTACCTGACCACAGTTCTACGGGTTTCTTTAAGGGTTATATTGATGGCAGTTATGGGTTATGTCTAACAGATAAACTTATCTATATGACGACGGCGGTGGACCTGGTGATCACTGAGGTGGAGGAGCCGGTTCGTTTCCTGCTGGAGACCAGGGTCAGAGTCTGCTCCCCCAACGAGAGGCTCTTCTGGCCATTCAGCAAACGCAGCTACACCGAGACCTTCTACCTTAAACTCAGACAGGTGAGAGGTTCTACCTGAAACTCAGACAGGTGAGACAGACACTACCGTTCAAAAGTTTGGGGTCACTTAGAAATGTCATTTTTTTGTCCATTTAAAATAACATCAAATTGATCAGAAATACAGTGTAGCTGGAAAGGGCTGATTTCCAATGGAATATTTACATAGACGTACAGAGGCCCATTATCAGCAACCATCAGTCCTGTGTTCCAATGGCACGTTGTGTTTGCTAATCCAAGTTTATCATTTTAAAAGGCTAATTGATCATTAGAAAACCCTATTGCAATTACAGTTGAAGTCGGAAGTTTACATACACTTAGGTTGGAGTCATTAAAACTCGTTTTTCAACCACTCCACAAATTTGTTGTTAACAAACTACAGTTTTGGCAAGTCGGTTAGGACATCTACTTTGTGCATGACACAAGTAATTTTTCCAACAATTGTTTACAGACAGATTATTTCAAATATAATTCACTATATCACAATTCCAGTGGGTCAGAAGTTTATATACACTAAGTTGACTGTGCCTTTTAAACAGCTTGGAAAATTCCAGAAAATGATGTCATGGCTTTAGAAGCTTCTGATAGGCTAATTTACATCATTTCAGTTAATTGGAGGTATACCTGTGGATGTATTTCAAGGCGTACCTTCAAACTCAGTGCCTCTTTGCTTGACATCATGGGAAAATCAAAATAAATCAGCCAAGACCTCCAATTGTAGACCTCCACAAGTCTGGTTCATCCTTGGGAGCAATTTCCAAATACCTGAAGGTACCGCGTTCATCTGTACAAACAATAGTACGCAACTATAAACACCATGGGACCACGCAGCCGTCATACCGCTCAGGAAGGAGACGCGTTCTGTCTCCTAGAGATGAACGTACTTTGGTGCGAAAAGTGCAAATCAATCCCAGAACAACAGCAAAGGACCTTGTGAAGATGCTGGAGGAAACAGGTACAAAAGTATCTATAGCCACAGTAAAACGAGACCTATATCAACATAACCTGAAAGGCCGCTCAGCAAGGAAGAAGTCCACTGCTTCAAAACCGCCATAAAAAAGCCAGACTACGGTTTGCAACTGCACATGGAGACAAAGATCTTACTTTTTGGAGAAATGTCTTCTGGTCTGATAAAACAAAAATATAACTGTTTGGCCATAATGACCGTTGTTATGTTTGGAGGAAAAAGGGGGGCCTTGCAAGCCGAAGAACACCATCCCAACCGTGAAGCACAGGGGTGGCAGCATCATGCTGTGGGGGTGCTTTGCTGCAGGAGGGACTGGTGCACTTCACAAAATAGATGGCATCATGAGGAAGGAAAATGTTGTGGATATATTGAAGCAACATCTCCAGACATCAGTCAGGAAGTTAAAGCTTGGTCACAAATGGGTCTTCCAAATGGACAATGACCCAAAGCATACTTCCAAAGTTGTGGCAAAATGGCTTAAGGACAACAAAGTCAAGGTATTGGAGTGGCCATCACAAAGCCCTGACCTCAATCCTATAGAAAATGTGTGGGCAGAACTGAAAAAGCGTGTGTAGCAAGGAGGCCTACAAACCTGACTCAGTTACACCAGCTCTGTCAGGAGAAAGGAAATTCACCCAACTTATTGTGGGAAGCTTGTGGAAGGCTACCTGAAATGTTTGACACAAGTTTGAAAGGCAATTGAATTGAAAGGCAATGGTACCAAATACTAATTGAGTGATGTAAACTTCTGACCCACTGGGAATGTGATGAAATAAATAAAAGCTGAAATAAATCATTCTCTCTACTATTATTCTGACATTTCACATTCTTAAAATATAGTGGTGAATCCTAACTGACCGAAAACAGGGAATTATTACTAGGATTAAATGTCAGGAATTGTGAAAAACAGAGTTTTTAAATGAATTTGGCTAAGGTGTATGTAAACTTCCGACATCAACTGTATGTTAGCACAGCTGAAAACTGTTGTGCTGATTTAAAGAAGCAATAAAACTGGCCTTCTTGAGACTAGTTGAGTATCTGGAGCATCAGAAATTGTGGCTTCGATTACAGGCTCAAAATGGCCAGAAACAAATAACTTTCTTCTGAATCTCGTCAGTCTATTCTTGTTCTGAGAAATGAAGGCTATTTATTCCATGCGAGAAATTGACTAGAAACTGAAGATCTCGTACAACGCTGTGTACTGAAAATGTATGCACTCACTAACTGTAAGTCGCTCTGGATAAGAGCGTCTGCTAAATGACTAAAAAAATATATACAGTGGGGAGAACAAGTATTTGATACACTGCCGATTTTTATCATAGGTACACTTCAACTGTGAGAGACGGAATCTAAAACAAAAATCCAGAAAATCACATTGTATGATTTTTAAGTAATTAATTTGCATTTTATTGCATGACATAAGTATTTGATACATCAGAAAAGCAGAACTCAATATTTGGTACAGAAACCTTTGTTTGCAATTACAGAGATCATACGTTTCCACGAGGTGAGATCTTGCATGGAGCCCCAGACCGAGGGTGATTGACCGTCATCCTGAACTTCTTCCATTTTCTAATAATTGCGCCAACAGTTGTTGCCTTCTCACCAAGCTGCTTGCCTATTGTCCTGTAGCCCATCCCAGCCTTGTGCAGGTCTACAATTTGATCCCTGATGTCCTTACACAGCTCTCTGGTCTTGGCCATTGTGGAGAGGTTGGAGTCTGTTTGATTGAGTGTGTGGACAGGTGTCTTTTATACAGGTAACGAGTTCAAACAGGTGCAGTTTAATACAGGTAATGAGTGGAGAACAGGAGGGCTTCTTAAAGAAAAACTAACAGGTCTGTGAGAGCCGGAATTCTTACTGGTTGGTAGGTGATCAAATACTTATGTCATGCAATAAAATGCAAATTAATTACTTAAAAATCATACAATGTGATTTTCTGGATTTTTGTTTTAGATTCCGTCTCTCACAGTTGAAGTGTACCTATGATAAAAATTACAGACCTCTACATGCTTTGTAAGTAGGAAAACCTGCAAAATTGGCAGTGTATCAAATACTTATTTTTTATTGGTAAATTGGTAAATTTACAAACATAAATCATGATAAATAGATTTGAAACTTGTATCTCATTATGGTATATGGTGAAATAAGTATACCCAGTTTTAATTGTAATGGCTTAGCAGATAATAACAAAAGAAGAACAATATTTACATGGCTCAAAGAGAAGGAATATAATATCTATTGTTTACAGGAAACTCATTCAACAACTCTAGATGAAGTTGCGTGGAAAAATAAATGGGGGTGCGAAATATACTTCTCCCATGGGCAAAGAAACTCAAAAGGGGTGATGATATTAATTAACAGTAATTTCGATCCGAATGTGCAAATTGTCCAAACAGATACGCAAGGTAGATGGATTATTTTAAATATGTTATTGGACCATAAACAGATATGGCTCATTAACCTTTACGGACCAAATAATGATGATCCACACTTCTTTGACAATATATATAATAAATGATCAACTCTTCAAGCAATTCAAGACTCTAATATTATGGTGGGAGATTATAATACCGTTTTTAATAGCTCAATGGACCGTAAAGGAAATCACACTACAATCAATCACCCTCATGCTCTTAAAATCGTGAATGTCATGGATACATTAGAACTAGTAGATATATGGAGGCTTAAATATCCTGATCTAGTGAGATATACATGGCGGAAGACTCAATCAAGCTAGTCGTCTTGACTTCTTTCTTATGTCATTCTCGTTGGCACCAAAAGTTTAAAAAGTGTTGATAGGGGACAGAATGCGGTCAGACCATCATATAATTGGCATATACATTACTCTTACTGAATTTCCATGTGGGCAAGGATATTGGAAATTTAATCAAAGCCTATTGGATGATAACTTGTTTTTAACTAGAACAGAGGAATTTATAACTGATATTTTCCGACATAACATAGGTACAGCAAATCCCCTTATTGTGTGGGACACCTTTAAATGTGCCTTTTAGTGGCCATGCAATTCAGGACTCATCTTGAAAAGAAAAGCAATTTAGGTCAAGTCCATACTAACAAAGGAAATAGAAGGTCTAACAGAATATATAGATAGCAATAAAAACTGTAACATAGAGACTCAGAATAATTTAGAGGACAAACAAAAAGAAATTGAGAAATTTATTCAAGAAAGATCAAGTGTAATATATTATAAAAATAAAACAAACTGGATGGAATATGGGGAACAATGCACCAAATTATTTTTTAATCTTCAACATAGGAATGCTACCAAAAATAATTTACTGAAACTGGTTACAAATGACGGAGTCACCCATGATTCACCAAATGATATTTTGAAGGAGGAAACAAAGTACTTTAAGCATATGTTTTCGTTTCAGTCGCCTCCATCTCCTCTAACTGAAGCTAATTGTAGAGATTCTACGACTGTAAGTCGCTTTGGATAAAAGCGTCTGCTAAATGGCATATTATTATTTATTATTATTATTCTATTGATAATGTAAAATTAACAGCCATACAGAAAGACTCATGTGAAGGTGAAATTACAGAGGAGGAACTTCTGGATGCAATTAAAGACTTTATGTCCGGGAAAACTACAGGGTTGGATGGCATACCAGTCGAGGTATACCAAACCTTTTTTTGATATACTCAGAGGATCGTTATTAGCATGTTTTAACCACTCCTATGTAAATGGTAGATTATCAGACACTCAAGAAGAAGGTCTGATTTCATTATTACTGAAACAGGATACAAGTGGAAAATATAAAGATCCAGTCCATTAAAAAAATTGGAGGCCCCTTACACTTCAGTGTTGTGATGCAAAAATTCTAGCAAAATGTATAGCGCATAGAATTAAAAAGGTATTGTCGGACATTATTCGATCTAATCTGACAGGTTTTTTACATGGATGATACATTGTAGATAATATAAGGCAAGTACTGGAAACAATAGAACACTATGAAAAATCTGGGAAACCAGGCCTGCTATTCATAGCAGACTTCGAAAAGGCATTTGATAAAATACGACTGGGTTTATATATAAATGCCTGGAGCATTTCAATTTTGGAGAATCTCTTATAAAATGGGTTAAAATCATGTATAGTAACCCTAGGTGTAAAATAGTAAATAATGGCTATTTCTCAGAAAGTTTTAAACTGTCAAGAGGAGTGAAACAAGGTTGTCCACTATCGGCATATCTATTTATTATGGCCATCGAGATGTTAGCTATTAAAATCAGATCCAACAATAATAGTAAGGATTAGAAATCCAGGGCTTAAAAACAAAGGTGTCATTGTACGCTGATGATTCATGTTTTCTTTTAAATCCACAACTTTAATCCCTCCACAGCCTCATAGAGGATTTATATACATTTTCTAACCTCTCTGGATTACAACCAAATTATGATAAATGTACTATATTACTTATTGGATCACAAAAAATACAATTTTACATGACCATGTAGTTTACCAATAAAATGGTCTGATGGTGATGTGGATATACTCGGAATACATATCCCAAATGAAATAAGTGATCTCACTCCAATACAGTTTAATAGAAAGTTAGCAAAAATAGATAAGATCTTGCTACCATGGAAAGGTAAATACCTGTCAATTTGTGGAAAAATCACCTTGATTAACTCTTTAGTATTATCCCAGTTTACCTATTTGCTTATGGTCTTGCCTACGCCTAGCGAACAGTTGTTTAAATTATATGAGAAAAAAATATTCCATTTTATTTGGAACGGCAAGCCAGACAAAATGAAACAGGCCTATTTATATAATGAATATGAATTCGGAGGACAGAAGTTATTAAATATTAAAGCATTAGACCTATCACTAAAAGCTTCAGTAATACAAAAGTTATACTTAAATCCGAACTGGTTCTCTAGCAAATTAGTAAGATTGTCTCACCCAATGTTCAATAATGTCCTTTTTCCCTTTATTCAGATTACAACCTCTCACTTTCAGTTATTTGAAAAGGAAATAATCTCCCAAATATCACTATTTCTAAAACAAGCCATAGAAAGTTGGTTGCAATTTCAATTTAATCCTCCAGAAACGACAGAACGAATAATGCATCAAATATTGTGGTTAAACTCCAATATACTAAATCATAAAAAAAAAATTGGGGGTTGGACAAAATGTTTTTTAAAATGTATAATCTTCGGAAATGATATCATCGGTAGGACTGGTGGAGTTATGTTGCACATGCAGCTAACAAAAACATATGGAAATGTCTGCTCTACCCAAAATTACAACCAAATAATTGCAGCATTACCGCAAAAATGGAAGAGGAAAGCTGAAGGGGGAATAAGTAAGGAACTTGTCTGTCGGCCTTGCATTAAAGAACATAATTGGTTAAAGAAAACTGTGATAAATAAAAAAGTATACCAGTTACATTTAAGGACCAAAGGATTGACAGCCGTCCCATATAGATTGCAAAATAGTTGGGAAGAGATTTTTGACGTACCGATCCCATAGCATAGTGTTTATGAACTGATACACAAAATGACGCCGGATTCAAAACTTATAATTTTTCTATTTAAATGATTATATCAAATTCTTGCTACCAATAGAATGTTATTTATATGGGGGATACAATCATCCCAGCTCTGCAGATTTTGCTGCGCAGAGACAGAATCATTAGATAATTTGTTTTGGTACTGTCCATTTGTAGCTTGTTTTTGGACACAGGTCCAGGAATGGCTAAAGGATTGCAAGATTTACCTGGAGCTAACCCTGCACATAGCATTACTGGGTGATCTGAAAAGTCATAGTCAATTGATCAATAATATAATAATACTTTTAGCAAAAATGTTTATTTTCAATTTACAATCTGTAGAAACAATGAGAATAGAAAGGTTCAGAACTTTTGTAAAATATCACAGTACAGTTGAAAAATATATGGCAAATAGAAATCCAATATGGATGGTGTTAATAGATAGATGGGTGGTGTTGAATGGAGTTGAAGGATTGGACTAATAACAACTAACAACAACTAATAACAACAAGATAACTAATGTAAAGCATACTGTGTCCATAATAATAATAATATGCCATTTAGCAGACGCTTTTATCCAAAGCGACTTACAGTCATGCGTGCATAATTTTTTTTGTGTATGGGTGGTCCCGGGGATAGAACCCACTACCCTGGCGTTACAAGCGCCGTGCTCTACCAGCTGAGCTACAGAAGACCACGTATATAGGTTATAGGTTGAGAGCTTTTGTGAAAGAGCACAATTAGAAATATATGGCATATAGAAGCAAACCGGATGGACATCATGAAAATGATCAGAGAGGTTGAGGATAGAGGAAGTTCAGGAGTAAAAACAAACAAAGTAGAATTATTGTAAAATTGACTGTGTCCATAAAATATATACACTGCTCAAAAAAATAAAGGGAACACTTAAACAACACAATGTAACTCCAAGTTAATCACACTTCTGTGAAATCAAACTGTCCACTTAGGAAGCAACACTGATTGACAATAAATGTCACATGCTGTTGTGCAAATGGAATAGACAACAGGTGGAAATTATAGGCAATTAGCAAGACACCCCCAATAAAGAAGTGGTTCTGCAGGTGGTGACCACAGACCACTTCTCAGTTCCTATGCTTCCTGACTGATGTTTTGGTCACTTTTGAATGCTGGCGGTGCTTTCACTCTAGTGGTAGCATGAGACGGAGTCTACAACCCACACAAGTGGCTCAGGTAGTGCAGCTCATCCAGGATGGCACATCAATGCGAGCTGTGGCAAGAAGGTTTGCTGTGTCTGTCAGCGTAGTGTCCAGAGCATGGAGGCCCTACCAGGAGACAGGCCAGTACATCAGGAGACGTGGAGGAGGCCGTAGGAGGGCAACAACCCAGCAGGACCGCTACCTCCACCTTTGTGCAAGGAGGAGCAGGAGGAGCACTGCCAGAGCCCTGCAAAATGACCTCCAGCAGGCCACAAATGTGCATGTGTCTGCTCAAACGGTCAGAAACAGACTCCATGAGGGTGGTATGAGGGCCCGACGTCCACAGGTGAGGTTGTGCTTACAGCCCAACACCGTGCAGGACGTTTGGCATTTGCCAGAGAACACCAAGATTGGCAAATTCGCCACTGGCGCCCTGTGCTCTTCACAGATGAAAGCAGGTTCACACTGAGCACATGTGACAGACGTGACAGAGTCTGGAGACGCCGTGGAGAACGTTCTGCTGCCTGCAACATCCTCCAGCATGACCGGGTTTGGCGGTGGGTCAGTCATGGTGTGGGGTGGCATTTCTTTGGGGGGCCGCACAGCCCTCCATGTGCTCACCAGAGGTAGCCTGACTGCCATTAGGTACCGAGATGAGATCCTCAGACCCCTTGTGAGACCATATGCTGGTGCGGTTGGCCCTGGGTTCCTCCTAATGCAAGACAATGCTAGACCTCATGTGGCTGGAGTGTGTCAGCAGTTCCTGCAAGAGGAAGGCATTGATGCTATGGACTGGCCCGCCCGTTCCCCAGACCTGAATCCAATTGAGCACATCTGGGACATCATATCTCGCTCCATCCACCAACGCCACGTTGCACCACAGACTGTCCAGGAGTTGGCGGATGCTTTAGTCCAGGTCTGGGAGGAGATCCCTCAGGAGACCATCCGCCACCTCATCAGGAGCATGCCCAGGCGTTGTAGGGAGGTCATACAGGCACGTGGAGGCCACACACACTACTGAGCCTCATTTTGACTGTTTTAAGGACATTACATCAAAGTGGATCAGCTGTAGTGTGTTTTCACACTTTAATTTTGAGGGTTGACTCCAAATCCAGACCTCCATGGGTGATACATTTGATGTCCATTGATAATTTTTGTTGATTTGTGTGTCACGCACATTCAACTATGTAAAGAAAAAAGTATTTCATAAGATTATTTCATTTCATTTCAGATTCAAGAATGTGTTATTTTAGTGTTCCCTTTATTTTTGAGCAGTGTGTGTGTGTGTGTGTATATATATATATATATATTTATATATATATAATAATATATATATATAATATATATATATAGTGTGTTATATATTATATATGTATAGTATGTATAAGCTGGAAGTAGAGGCTAACATTGTTGTTCACTAGTTTACTCCAATTATGAATGGTGGTGGGTTGGAAGTATAAAGGAATATATATTTTTAAATATGGATTGTGTATATATCTATATATATATATATATATTATATATATCTATATATCTATATCTTATCTATTTGTGTGTGTGTATCTATCTGTGTGTGTCTATGTAAAAAACCATATGGGGGATTTGCACGTGATGCAGCACAATTCTTGATTGACGTTACATTTATCTGCAGACTGTCCCAGGCGTTGTAACTTCAATCATGTATTGTCTGCCTCACTTCAAATCCCCCTCGCTTTAACTATTGCAGATAAATTGTAACTTCCAATCAATGTAATTGTCTGCATCACTTCAAATCCCCCATATGTTTTTTACATACCACACACTATCCTATATACATATATATATATATATATATATTATTATCACCACACCACACCACACCACACACACACACACCCACACACACACCACACACACCCACACACACACACACACCACATACATACATACATACATACATACATACATACATACATACATACAATACATACATACATATATATATATATATATATATATATATATATATATATATATATATATATATATAATAAAGTAATAAAGGGAAATATTATTTTTAAAGGATATGTGTGTGTGTGTGTATATATATATATATATGTATGTGTGTGTTGTGTGTGTGGGCATATATATATCTATATATATATTATATATATTATATATGTGTGTATATGTAAAAAACATATGGGGGATTTGAAGTGATGCAGACAATTACATTGATTGAAGTTACAATTTATCTGCAATATTAAAGCTGATCTATCCCCCCCCCCCCCAAAAAAAAAAAAAAAAATCCTCAGACAGGTGAGACAGAGCTTCAAGCTGAACCTCAGACTGGTGAGACAGAGCTTCTAGCTGAACCTCAGACAGGTGAGACAGAGCTTCTAGCTGAAACTCAGACTGGTGAGACAGAGCTTCTAGCTGAACCTCAGACAGGTGAGACAGAGCTTCTAGCTGAACTCAGACAGGTGAGACAGAGCTTCTAGCTGCGACTGAGACAGAGCTTCAAGCTGAAACTCAGACAGGTGTCAGACCTTCTAACTAAAACTCAGACAGATGAGACAGTTTTAATCACTTAATATCTGACATCATCCTATATTTATATTAATTGTACCACACTGAAACCAAAACTCATTTTTCCTGGCTTTCATTGTTGTGCTATTAATAATATATCTGAACATACCTTTTAGTGTTAATTTATGTCAACCCAACATGAATTGTGAGAAGGCTATTTTTTATTTTCTTTGACAATGTAACTGCTAGTTAAAGTGGTCACCTATTGTCTTGAGCCTGTATGGAACTCCATTTCCCTCCTCCTTCCCAGACAGAGCGGAAGAGAAACAACACCAATCCAATGCTTTTAGATCCATGACAGGAAGGGTGTATGTGACTCTTTACCCTGCTCCCTCCAGATGGGATGAAACAGGTTACTGATTGTCTCCACCCTGTACATGACTCCTTTCCCACCTTCCCAGATGGAGCGTAAGAGGAACAAGGACACCCTGTACGAGGTGCTAAGCCTGGAGAGTGAGTTAGAGAGGGAGAGGAAGAAGACGACAGCCAGCCCCAACATCCTGCAGTCTTCCTCTCAAGGATCCATGGTGTCATCGCCCCCCGAGGATGACGAGGAGGAAGGTGACTGACTGAGCTACCATACATTTATTACATTTATTTTTACCAAAAAGTCCCATTGAGGCCAGAAGAGCTCTTTCCCATTACATTGACATTTTAGTCATTTAGCAGACGCTGTCATCCAGTGCATTCAACTAAAGTAGGTAAATCAATCACATATCACAATAATTGCAAGTAAACCCTGCGGTCTGCAAGTCAGTACTAGTAAGAGTTCATCCTGCAATCTGCCTCCCACTGCTCTATGGTGCCATCACCACGTGACGATGACGAGGAGGAAGGTGACCGTCTGAACAACCCTCTCAACCTGCCCTTCTATGCGGTCTTTATAATCCAACCCAAGCAATCCAACATTCAACAGTACATTTACATTTGAGTCATTTAGCAGAGCGATTTGCAATCTAAAAGTAGCTAAAACAACCACATATCACAATCATTGTAAGTGAAACTTTTTTCAAAATAGCCTCTTTCTGCTAAAGCAGTGCTAGTAAGAGTACCTTCTTGCCTTCCAGTCTCTGTAGCTCTCTCCCAATTCAACCCCTAGCCTCTACCCCCTAGCCTCCACCCCTAGCCTCCACCCCTAGCCTCTACCCCCTAGCCTCCACCCCTAGCCTCTACCCCCGGACTCTACCCCCTAGCCTCTACCCCTAGCCTCTACCCCCTAGCCTCAACCCCTAGCCTCCACCCCTGGACTCTACCCCCTAGGCACTTGTTGAGTTCTGAGAGGATTAGACAGGTGTATGCAGTAAGGCAGAAATTCCGCCTAGTCAAGCCTCTCAAATCCAGAAAGCTGAACTTAAAAAAATAAATACAGATTTCCATTTTCCATTACAAAACATTTTGCTATGATGTGCACTACTGAACACGCCCTGTCTGTTTGGGGATTGGGTGGTAGTCTCCCTTTCTGTTTGGGGATTGGGTGGTAGTCGGTCCTTGTCTGTTTGGGGATTGGGTGGTAGTCTCCCTGTCTGTTTGGGGATTGGGTGGTAGTCTCCCTGTCTGTTTGGGGATTGGGTGGTAGTCGCCCTGTCTGTTTGGGGATTGGGTGGTAGTCTCCCTGTCTGTTTGGGGATTGGGTGGTAGTCTCCCTGTCTGTTTAGGGATTGGGTGGTAGTCTCCCTGTCTGTTTGGGGATTGGGTGGTAGTCGCCCTGTCTGTTTGGGGATTGGGTGGTAGTCTCCCTGTCTGTTTGGGGATTGGGTGGTAGTCGCCCTGTCTGTTTGGGGATTGGGTGGTAGTCTCCCTGTCTGTTTGGGGATTGGGTGGTAGTCTCTCCCTGTCTGTTTGGGGATTGGGTGGTAGTCTCTCCCTGTCTGTTTGGGGATTGGGTGGTAGTCGGTCCCTGTCTGTTTGGGGATTGGGTGGTATTCGGTCCCTGTCTGTTTGGGGATTGGGTGGTAGTCTCCATGTCTGTTTGGGGATTGGGTGGTAGTCGGTCCCTGTCTGTTTGGGGATTGGGTGGTAGTCTCCCTGTCTGTTTGGGGATTGGGTGGTAGTCTCCCTGTCTGTTTGGGGATTGGGTGGTAGTCGGTCCCTGTCTGTTTGGGGATTGGGTGGTAGTCTCCATGTCTGTTTGGGGATTGGGTGGTAGTCGGTCCCTGTCTGTTTGGGGATTGGGTGGTAGTCTCCCTGTCTGTTTGGGGATTGGGTGGTAGTCTCCCTGTCTGTTTGGGGATTGGGTGGTAGTCTCCCTGTCTGTTTGGGGATTGGGTGGTAGTCTCCCTGTCTGTTTGTGGATTGGGTGGTAGTCTCCCTGTCTGTTTGGGGATTGGGTGGTAGTCGCCCTGTCTGTTTGGGGATTGGGTGGTAGTCTCCCTGTCTGTTTGGGGATTGGGTGGTAGTCTCCATGTCTGTTTGGGGATTGGGTGGTAGTCGCTACCTGTCTGTTTGGGGATTGGGTGGTAGTCTCTCCCTGTCTGTTTGGGGATTGGGTGGTAGTCTCCCTGTCTGTTTGGGGATTGGGTGGTAGTCTCCCTGTCTGTTTGGGGATTGGGTGGTAGTCTCCCTGTCTGTTTGGGGATTGGGTGGTAGTCTCCCTGTCTGTTTGGGGATTGGGTGGTAGTCTCCCTGTCTGTTTGGGGATTGGGTGGTAGTCTCCCTGTCTGTTTGGGGATTGGGTGGTAGTCTCCATGTCTGTTTGGGGATTGGGTGCAGAATATGTGAGTGGAGCGAGTAGCGGAGCGTGCTCAATTTGACTGGAACGCGATTCCTAAAGGCTGGAGCGTCGGCCTTCTCGCCCGCTCCAATTTCGCTCCAGTAGCGCTCACTTCACGAGCTCAGGGCATGCCCGGCCCAGCATGCATTTGTAGTCTACTTGTTTGCTGCCATAGCCCCTTGCTTTAGCTACTGTCATGGAGTTTGCTAAATATTTTCATAAAGAAACTGATAAAACACACAGGTGAAAAATCAAGGTGACTTACAAAGATGAGGACCAAGAGCAAGAGAGGGAGTGCGGTGATGTAGTGTCCACAACTAAAGAATCATTGTGGAATCTGAAAAGACACGTATCCTGAAAGCATGATGGTGTACTTACTACATGCACATGCTAAAAGAAAGGAACGAGGTGGGTAGATAACTAAGTGGGTCATTGTAGCAAAGTATTTATGAACTAAAAATCAGATCTCTTAAAAGTTTCGTTAATTTTTATTCTATTATCTATACAATAGGCCATCATTGATTTTGGCCCAATAGGCCTGGCATATTCCCACTTTCAAGGAGCTTTCCGTTTTGATTGGGCTATTTTGCCTAAAAACCTTTAGGCCTACCTATATAAAAAAATACAATAAATAAACTCTGCATCTCTGTCCAGCCTGGCAAGAGTGGCCCGAAGGGTGTTTAGCATCCACAGTGGCTCTGCAAGCGCGGAGAGGATATTCTCCGCTGAAGACCTGCTCTCCAGGCACCATCACATGAACCTGAAGCCACAGACTCTGGCCAAACTGGTGTTTCTAAAAATGAATGCAAAGGCTCTGTAGACTGAGCCTAATCAGGCATTTTTTGTTTCATTTGTATTTCATTCTAAATAAGTCACAGCATATATGAGCAAATTATTGACTATAATGATTTAGTACAACAAAATGTTGTTTAAATGCTGAGTGTTTTATGTTCCTACCAGCCTGGTGTCGCACTCCCAAATGCTTCACAATGTATTTCTTTGTTGTCTATAGCCTTGAAATAATTGAAATAATATAGCCTAAATAATTAATTGTCATTCCTTCTTAGGCTCCCTGTCTGACTCCTGACCTATTTAGTGTTTATATGCTGTTTAATATGACATGTAGCCTATTTGAAATGATGAGCGCTTCTTACATTCACCTTTTCATGTTTATTAAAATACTTTTAATTCAAATCCATATGGTTTGGTTTCAATACTTCAAAACCAAATGGAGGTCCAGGTAGTCACAAAAATAGATGGGTGTTGGTTAAATTGTGATTTTAATGAATGGAGCGAATTCGGAGCAGCAGTTTTGTTTTCCTCTGAGCGCGGAGCGGTTTTCAGCAGAGCGGTTGGAAAGGATGTGGAGCGCAGAGCGGTGCTCCATGAGCGGGATTTCCGACCGCTCAACTCCGCTCTCATGCTCTGATTGGCTGGTAGTCTCTCCCGGGCTGTTTGGGGATTGGGTGGTAAGACTCTGCCTGTCTGTTTGGGGATTGGATGGTAGTCTCTCCCTGTCTGTTTGGGGATTGGATGGTAGTCTCTCCATGTCTGTTTGGGGATTGGGTGGTAGTCTCTCCCTGTCTGTTTGGGGATTGGGTGGTAGTCTCCCTGTCTGTTTGGGGATTGGGTGGTATTCTCTCCCCAACTGTTTGGGGATTGGATGGTAGTCTCCCTGTCTGTTTGGGGATTGGATGGTAGTCTCTCCCGTCTGTTGTGTGGTAGTCTCCTGTCTGTTTGGGGATTGGATGGTAGTCTCTCCCTGTCTGTTTGGGGATTGGGTGGTAGTCTCCCTGTCTGTTTGGGGATTGGGTAGTATTCTCTCCCCAACTGTTTGGGGATTGGGTGATAGTCCCTCCCTGACTGTTTGGGGATTGGGTGGTATTCTCTCCCTGACTGTTTGGTGATTGGGTGGTAGACTCTCCCTGACTGTTTGGGGATTGGCTAGTAGTCTCTCTCTTTCTGTTGTGTCTTATTATACTCCCTGTACAGTATGTACTTTGCTAGTCATGATCTATGACAGCTAGGTCTATTTGTCTGTCTCAGTGACAGTGCCCCCCCACTGTGTTTGTCTCCTGTCTAGCCAGCCTGTTATCTACCCTAGTCTCTCTCTGCATGACTGTTGGTGTAAGTCGCTATACATACAGCATGTTTATTTACTCTAGCCCAGGCTCAACTATGTTGATATGTCAACCCTTTGTCTCTGTGTGCATCTGAAATGACACCCTATTCACTATATAGTGCACTACTTTTGACCAGAGCCTGATGGGAATAGGCTGCCACTTGGGACTCACTCTCAGTCTTTGTCTCTGGAGCAGAGCATAAAGATGAATTTATTTTGCAAGATGGACAATAAAGTTGTGTTAAATTTTATTCTGTCAGACAATGACGAGCCATTGCTGAGTGGCTCAGGAGACGTGTCAAAGGAGTGTGCTGAGAAGATCCTGGAGACCTGGGGAGACCTGCTGTCCAAATGGTGAGTGACAGACAAGTCTGTTTGTATCTGGAATGTGATGACATACCTTGCCTTCATGTAAATCATAGCACCACCCACTGGGGACAAACTGGTTGAATCAATGTTGTTTCCATGTCATTTCAACATAAAACATTTTATGTGATGATGTTGAGTCAACGTGGAAAACTGATTGGATTTGCAAAAAGTCATCAATGTAAGGGAATTTAGTGTTTTTTTCACCCAACTTTTAACCTAAATCCAATGACATGGTTCAATAATTTTTTTATTTCACTTTGAATTCAGGTAAGTTGACAACTCAATCAAATACCAATCCAAACTAGATGTAGAACTGACGTCTGTGTCCAGTGGGCAGTGTATTTTGCACTTCTCATCTTCATTTAGCTCCACATTCAAAGTGGTGTTAAAGAAAAAATTAACCATAAAATAACAGAGAATTAGACCACCTGCTGTACCAGTCTGGTAAATAATAACCAAAAGCACCACCAGGTAGCAGGCTCTTTCCCAATGAATATATCTGTACAGAGAAAGTAGCTACCAGAGCTGGCGTTTAGTTAGTGTGCCTTACCATCATGGTAAGATAGCGCCATACTGACTGGCTGCCGTTTTGCAAGCTCCGACACAACTTTGCTATTTTGTGATTCTTTTGGCGTTCATCTTGTGTTCTTATTTTTCTATCTCGGGTTTTTGTTCTACCTTATGTTATTTTTAATACTACATTGATATTGATTACTGCATTGTTGGGTTCAGAGCTTGCAGAAAAGGCATTTCACTGTACTTGTGCACGTAATATTAAAACTTGTAACGATGCCTGTGGGCCTGTAGAGCTCCCTGCCGACCTGCTGGCCAGGTTGCCAGGAGAAGGATTGATGTGGTGGGCTTTTAATGTTCCTGTCGATCGGTCAGCAGAGGCATGTCAGGGAGAGAGATGAAGGGACTGAATGTTGAGCAGCACAGTGCTGGGGTGGCCCTCTAGCTGAGTTACGACCCAAATCACGGAGTCTTTTATAATGTACCATGGTCTGATTCTTCTTCATGTTGGTTCTTTGACTGAACAGTTTAGTGGGAAATGTACATTTATCTACAGTAATCACAATGATATGAAAAGCAAACTTAAAATATACACTTATCCTTCATACAGGGTTCGAGCATCTTGAAAATCCTGGGAAAGTCATGGAATTGTAAAATTGTGTTTTCCAGGCCTGTAAAAGGTTTGGGAAAAAGTAATGGAAATTCATTTAATAATTTTTGTTAATGTAATTTATTTAGGCACAGTTTTTAAATATTTTATAAATCAAATAAAAATCAACTTATCAGCCAGGATTGGAATGACACTTTAGCGCATCTGTGTTTGCGCGTATCTCCTTGGGCCATTGCTCAAGGAGAGAGAGATAGTTAATTCATTACAGCAGCAGGTAGGCCTAGCCTATAAAATATGTAGAGAACTGATTTAACTAGGTAGCCAATTCAAAACATATATTGTACCCGCTAGTTAACTGTTTATCTATCATTAGCATGTATTCATATTTTCTTCATGTCCCAAAAAACTTTCCACAGACACTCGCGAATAAGGCCATACAAATTCGTATTATTCATTTAAACTATTATTTTTGACGAAACAAGCGATTCACTTCGCCATTGTATTAGTTGGGATTCGGTTCAATCGCGGTGAATCGAATCAGGTGAATCAAAATAATAATTTGTGAATCGAGAACAGTAATTTTAGGAAAAAATATTTGATGTAGCCTTTCTTTTGGATTATTATGTGGCTTCAAAACTTGTTTTGTAGATATTTTCAGTTGATTTGGGAAACTCAATAGATGCTAGTCAGACTGCAAAGTAAACACTTCTAAGGTAGCTAGCTAAAATAAATATGACTAAACTCGAAAAGGTACATTTCCTGAATAAATATTTTGAGCATAGCCATTTGATATTTTTATTTAATTTAATTTTTTTGTCATTTAGCAGACGCTCTTATCCAGAGCGACTTACAGGAGCAATTAGGGTTAAGTGCCTTGCTCAAGGGCACATCGACAGATTTTTCATCTAGTCGGCTCAGGGATTAGAACCAGCGACCTTTCGGTTACTGGCACAACGCTCTTAACCAATAAGCTACCTGCCGCCAGGTAGATCTTTGATCTTTGATATATTGAATTAGTGAATTATTTCAAAAGGCATAAAACATATTTGGTTGCAATGTTATACGTCAAGGGTGGTCAACCATCCTCCAGGAGAGCTAATGAGTGTGCAGGCTTTTGTTCCAATCCCAAACCACATTTGAGAAATTAGAAGCTCAACCGGACCTTGATAAACTGGCTCTGATGTGTTTGAGCAGGGCTTGATCAAAAGCCTGCACACCCAGTAGCTCTCCAGACTGAGGGTTACACTATGTGTTTTAACCAGTTGCCTAACAGGTATTCTACTTTGTGGGGGGTTAAGTGCCTTGCTCAACGACAGGAGATGGTACATGGGATCAGAGAGCAGCCTCCCAGTCGATACCACATTATGCTTACTTTTTTATACGTACATAGAGACACTGCAAAAATGTGGTTAAAAGTCATGAAATTCCATCTTTCAAAATGTGTATGAACCCTGTTCATACATACAGAGTTCCTAAAGCTACTATTTGGTATGAGATTTCTACTAAGGATGGAGACACACACACACACTCTCTGCTAATTTGAGAACTCATTCATGTGTGGCGGGAAATTAGATATTTTAATCTCTGGAAGTGGTGAGGAAAATAAATAGGTGTGTGTGTGTGTCGTCTCATCCAGATAACCAGCTTATTAAGATTATTACCCACTCCCATTACTCTTTGTGGTTCTTAATCAAAACCTTGTGATATATTGAATTTAAAAAGTCCAGCAATTTAATTAGAGACGCTCAGTAGCTTCTGCCTTCTGCTGTGAAGTTATGGTCACATCTGTAGTTCCCTGTTCCCTCTGTTCCCTTCAACCCAGACTTCAGAGAGAGAGAGGGAGGGGAGGGGAGGGAAGAGGGGGGGAGGGAAGAGGGAGGGAGGGGAGGGAAGAGGGAGGGAAGAGGGAGGGAGCACATTTATCTTTCGTCTATGTCCGATACAGCCACTAGGTGCATACAAGGTGTTTTTTTTGCCTCCAAAATCCTTTAATGCTAGTTTGAGGCTTTGCTGTTAACGTGTCTCTTGAGAATGGCTGTGCTGACTGAAATAAAACAACTATGTTTAGGAAATTTGCTTTCTTTCTAACTTGCAAAGAATGGTAAATAAATGGCGTAATTCAAAGGGCACTGATACAGTGAGGGAAAAAAGTATTTGATCCCCTGCTGATTTTGTACGTTTGCCCACTGACAAAGACATGATCAGTCTATAATTTTAATGGTAGGTTTATTTGAACAGTGAGAGACAGAATAACAACAAAAAAATCCTGAAAAACGCATGTCAAAAATTTTATGAATTGATTTGCATTTTAATGAGGGAAATAAGTATTTGACCCCTCTGCAAAACATGACTTAGTACTTGGTGGCAAAACCCTTGTTGGGAATCACAGAGGTCAGACGTTTCTTGTAGTTGGCCACCAGTTGGCCACCATCTCAGGAGGGATTTTGTCCCACTCCTCTTTGCAGATCTTCTCCAAGTCATTAAGGTTTCAAGGCTGACGTTTGGCAACTCGAACCTTCAGCTCCCTCCACAGATTTTCTATGGGATTAAGGTCTGGAGACTGGCTAGGCCACTCCAGGACCTTAATGTGCTTCTTCTTGAGCCACTCCTTTGTTGCCTTGGCCGTGTGTTTTGGGTCATTGTCATGCTGGAATACCCATCCACGACCCATTTTCAATGCCCTGGCTGAGGGAAGGAGGTTCTTACCCAAGATTTGACGGTACATGGCCCCTTCCATCATCCCTTTGATGCGGTGAAGTTGTCCTGTGCCCTTAGCAGAAAAACACAGCCAAAGCATAATGTTTCCACCTCCATGTTTGACGGTGGGGATGGTGTTCTTGGGGTCACAGGCAGCATTCCTCCTCCTCCAAACACGGCGAGTTTAGTTGATGCCAAAGAGCTCGATTTTGGTCTCATCTGACCACAACACTTTCACCCAGTTCTCCTCTGAATCATTCAGATGTTCATTGGCAAACTTCAGACAGGCCTGTATATGTGCTTTCTTGAGCAGGGGGATCTTGCGGGCGCTGCAGGATTTCAGTCCTTCACGGCGTAGTGTTTTACCAATTTCTTTCTTGGTGACTATGGTCCCAGCTGCCTTGAGATCATTGACAAGATCCTCTCGTGTAGTTCTGGGCTGATTCCTCACCGTTCTCATGATCATTGCAACTCCACGAGGTGAGATCTTGCATGGAGCCCCAGGCCGAGGGAGATTGACAGTTATTTTGTGTTTCTTCCATTTGCGAATAATCGCACCAACTGTCGTCACCTTCTCACCAAGTTGCTTGGCGATGGTCTTGTAGCCCATTCCAGCCTTGTGTAGGTCTACAATCTTGTCCCTGACATCCTTGGAGAGCTCTTTGGTCTTGGCCATGGTGGAGAGTTTGGAATCTGTTTGATTGATTGCTTCTGTGGACAGGTGTCTTTTATACAGGTAACAAACTGAGATTAGGAGCACTCCCTTTAAGAGTGTGCTCCTAATCTCAGCTCGTTACCTGTATAAAAGACACCTGGGAGCCAGAAATCTTTCTGATAGAGAGGGGGTCAAATACTTATTTCCCTCATTAAAATGCAAATCAATTTATAACATTTTTGACATGCGTTTTTCTGGATTTCTTTGTTGTTATTCTGTCTCTCACTGTTCAAATAAACCTACCATTAAAATTATAGACTGATCATTTATTTGTCAGTGGGCAAACGTACAAAATCAGCAGGGGATCAAATACTTTTTCCCCTCACTGTATGTGTGACTCGATGCAGGGCTCTGGGAGTCAGTGGGAGCCATTGTGTATTGCCAACCCGCTGAGCACCAGGGCTGGTTTCACTTACATCACACTCAAAGTATGCCCTTTCTTGTTTCAACTGTTTTATCTGAGCAGAAAATAAATGCCACGTTGCATTGCATAACCAACCAAGTAACTCGGGACAAATAAAACAAATAAATAAATGAAAAGTGGGGGAAAAAGTTCATGATTCATCTGGAATGTTCTTAGCTCTCCCAGGGGCGCGTGGTGTGGTGTGGAACCTGATCATATGTTCTTCTTGGCACTGTGACTAGTACCTTCCTCCCCCGCCAGCTGCCCAGGGTTCTGGGAAGAACCGGGTGGAGACTATCTCTCTGTGTCTGTTCTGATCAGAGATAACTCTCTCTCTCTCTCTCTCGCTCACGCTCTTTCTCCCTCCCTCCTTCTCTCTCTCCTGCCTCTTCTCTCTCCCTCCTCCCCTGATCCCCAAGCCCCACATCACACCTGTTAGATAAGAGACTCCATCCTCCTGTTCCTCTCCTCTGCCCTTTAGATACGGCAACTACACTCTCATGATCCCCTACCTCCTGATCAGCCCAGCTGAATTTAGTACATAACCGACACATAGACATTCACTGAGAACCTGGGTCTGCATGTACAGCGTACAGTCTGTCATATGAGACTAATAGGATATACTGCAGATATATCTTCTGAGATTTGCAGTGCGACAGCAAATAGAGCCACCTGGAATGCCCACATTGTTTACCCATGGCAGCCCTTAATGCAGTCAGTGGCCCCTCCTCCCAGTGTACATCAGAGCTGATAAGATGGAATGAATGGCCTGCTGGCCTGGAACGGTGATATATGAGTTGTTTCTGACATGGCTGGATATGTAGTGGCTCCTTTCACCTCCATTGATTACATTAAATCATACCATTATCATCAGGGACGTAGTGGTGGGTATACACAATGGTGTGTTCACTCCTTTTCATCTGTGTACGTGACCAATAAAGTGTGATTTGATAGCATTAGTGTTTACATAATGGTTGGTTACATCATGGCTTCCCACCCTCTGTCCCCAGGCATCTGAAT